CCCAGGTGGTAACCTTTGGTTCCCAGGTTGGGAACCAGGAGTTCCAACCTCTGGGAACCGGCAGTTCCTTGCAATGGTAACCTTTGGTTCCCACGTTGGCAACCGTGAGTTCCAACCTTTGGGAACTGGCAGTTCCTTGCCATGAACCAAACGCAAACTTTCCGGTACCGGTCCATTAAGCAAAACAAAGCGTTCTGTACCGGTCCATTAAGCAAAACCATAAAGTTGTAAAGAAACTGTTTTCATATCATTTTAACATGCACCTTTTTCGTGCAAAACATTTTTATGCCGGCCCGACAGCCAAACGCAAACATTCCGCTACCGGTCCATTAAGCAAAACAAAAGGTTCTGTTACCGGCTCAGTAAACAAAACAAAACAACATTAAGAACCATGAGTTCTAACTTTTTGCAATCAACAGATCCTTCCACTGGTAACGTATGTTTTTTCAGGTTTGGAACCATGAGTTTCAAGCTTTGGGAACCCGCAGTTCCTTACAATGATAGTTGCTTAGTTTCGAAAACATAAATTCTAACTTCTGGGAACCGGCAATTCCTTGCAATGGTAACCTCTGGTTCCCAGGTTGGGAACCGTAAGTTTCAAGGTCTGGGAACCGGCAGTTCCTTGCCATGGTAACCTTGGTTCCCACGTTGGGAACTGAACCATCAGTTCCAACCTTTTCTATCTGGGGTCTATGCCGGTGTAATTTTTATAGAATGGGCTAGCGCCCGGGTGCCGCCGACCCCCCCTTTTCTGGGGGGAGGCACGGGCCGTGAGCCGCTGCGTTTGGCTCTTTCGAACCCCATTAAAAGAGTAGCCTGCACAATTCTTGGGATATTCCCCGTTCTCTGATATGATTTTGGTCAACAGACCGGGAGGGTGCTTCTTTAGATTTCCCTGCGGTACAGTTGGTGGCCACGGCAGCGCTTTTGCAAGTTGTGCGGAGCCGCTGCGCAGCGTTTACACCTGTCAGGCCTCCCAAACGGCAAGCTTGAACCCCCAAAAAAAGACTCTGCCGGCGCAGTTGGTGGCCACGGCACCGCTTTTGCAAGCTGTGCGGAGCTGCTGCGCAGAGTTTACACCTGTCATGCCTGCCAAAGGCAAGCTTGAACCCCAAGAAAAAGGCCACGGCAACACTGTTGCAAGCTGTGCGGAGCCGCTGCTCAAGGTTTACACCTTTCAGCGCTGCCAAACGGCACGCTTGAACCTCCAAGAAAAGACTCTGCCGGCACAGTTGGTGGCCACGGCAGCGCTTGTGCAAGGTGTGCGGAGCCGCTGCGCAGGGTTTACACCTTTCAGGCCTGCCAAACGGCAAGCTTGAACCCCCAAGAAAAGACTCTGCCGGCGCAGTTGGTGGCCACGGCACCGCTTTTGCAAGCTGTGCGGAGTTGCTGCGCAGAGTTTACACCTGTCATGCCTGCCAAAGGCAAGCTTGAACCCCAAGAAAAGGGCCACGGCAACACTGTTGCAAGCTGTGTGGAGCCGCTGCTTAGGGTTTACACCTTTCAGCGCTGCCAAACGGCACGCTTGAACCTCCAAGAAAAGACTCTGCCGGCACAGTTGGTGGCCACGGCAGCGCGTTGGCAAGGTGCGGAGCTGCTGCGCAGAGTTTACAGCTGTCATGCCTGCCACAGGCAAGCTTGAACCCCCAAGAGCAGGGTTTACACCTTTCAGGCCTGCCAAACGGCAAGCTTGAACCCCCAAGAGAAGACTCTGGCACTTGTGCAAGTTGTGCGGAGCTGCTGCGCAGCATTTACACCTTTCAGGCCTGCCAAACGGCAAGCTTGAACCCCCAAGAGAAGACTCTGCCGGCACAGTTGGTGGCCACAGCGGCTTTTGCAAGCTGTGCCGAGCTGCTGCGCAGAGTTTACAGCTGTCATGCCTGCCACAGGCAAGCTTGAACCCCCAAGAAAATGCAAGCTGCGTGGAGCCGCTGCGCAGGGTTTACACCTTTCAGGCCTGCCAAACGGCAAGCTTGAACCCCGCACAGTTGGTGGCCACGGCAAAGCTTTTGCAAGCTGCGTGGAGTCGCTGCGCAGGGTTTACACCTTTCAGGCCTGCCAAACGGCAAGCTTGAACCCCCAAGAAAAGACTCTGCCGGCACAGTTGGTGGCCACGGCAGCGCTTTGGCAAGGTGCGGAGCTGCTGCGCAAAGTGTGCAGCTGTCATGCCTGCCACAGGCAAGCTTGAATCCCCCAGAAAAGGGCCACGGCAACGCTTTTGCAAGCTGCGTGGAGCCGCTGCGCAGGGTTTACACCTTTCAGGCCTGCCAAACGGCAAACTTGAACCCCCAAGAAAAGACTCTGCCGGCACAGTTGGTGGCCACGGCAGCGATTGCGCAAGTTGTGCGGAGCCGCAGCGCAGGGTTTACACCTTTCAGGCCTGCCAAACGGCAAGCTTGAACCCCCAAGAAAAGACTCTGCCGGCACAGTTGGTGGCCACGGCAGCACTTTGGCAAGGTGCGGAGCTGCTGCGCAGAGTTTACAGCTGTCTTGCCTGCCACATGCAAGCTTGAACCCCCAAGAAAAGGGCCACGGCATTGCTTTTGCAAGCTGCAGGAGGCGCTGCGCAGGGTTTACACCTTTCAGGCCTGCCAAACGGCAAGCTTGAAACCCCCAAGAAAAGAATCTGCCGCCACAGTTGGTGACCACGGCAGCACTTGTGCAAGTTGTGCGGAGCCGCTGCGCAGCAATGAAACCTTTCAGGCCTGCCAAACGGCAAGCTTGAAACCCCCAAGAAAAGGGCCATGGCAACGCTTTTGCAAGCTGCGTGGAGCCGCTGCGCAGGGTTTACACCTTTCAGGCCTGCCAAACGGCAAGCTTGAACCCCCCAGAAAAGACTCTGCCGGCACAGTTGGTGGCCACGGCAGCGCTTGTGGAAGCTGTGTGGAGCCGCTGCGCAGGGTTTACACCTTTCAGCGCTGCCAAACGGCACGCTTGAACCTCCAAGAAAAGACTCTGCCGGCACAGTTGGTGGCCACGGCAGCACTTTGGCAAGGTGCGGAGCTGCTGCGCAGAGTGTGCAACTGTCATGCCTGCCACAGGCAAGCTTGAACCCCCAAGAAAAGGGCCACGGCAACGCTTTTGCAAGCAGCCGCTGCGCAGGGTTTACACCTTTCAGGCCTGCCAAACGGCAAGCTTGAACCCCCAAGAAAAGACTACGGCAGCGCTTGTGCAAGTTGTGCGGAGCTGCTGCGCAGCATTTACACCTTTCAGGCCTGCCAAACGGCAAGCTTGAACCCCCAAGAAAAGACTACGGCAGTGCTTGTGCAAGTTGTGCGGAGCTGCTGCGCAGCATTTACACCTTTCAGGCCTGCCAAACGGCAAGCTTGAACCCCCACTCTGCCGGCACAGTTAGTGGCCACGGCAGCGCCTTGGCAAGGTGCGGAGCTGCTGCGCAGAGTGTACAGTTGTGATGCCTGCCACAGGCAAGCTTGAACCCCCAAGAAAAGGGTCACGGCAACGCTTTTGCAAGCTGTGTGGAGCCGCTGCGCAGGGTTTACACCTTTCAAGCCTGCCAAACGGCAAGCTTGAACCCCCAAGAAAAGACTTCCAAGAAGACTCTGCCGGCACAGTTGGTGGCCACGGCAGCGCTTGTGCAAGCTGTGCGGAGCCGCTGCGCAGCGTTTACACCTGTCAGGCCTCCCAAACGGCAAGCTTGAACCTGCAAGAAAAGACTCTGCCGGCACAGTTGGTGGCCACAGCGGCTTTTGCAAGCTGTGCGGAGCTGCTGCGCAGAGTGTACAACTGTCATGCCTGCCACAGGCAAGCTTGAACCCCCAAGAAAAGGGCCACGGCAACGCTTCTGCAAGCTGCGTGGATCCGCTGCGCAGGGTTTACACCTTTCAGGCCTGCCAAACGGCAAACTTGAACCCCCAAGAAAAGACTCTGCCGGCACAGTTGGTGGCCACGGCAGCGATTGCGCAAGTTGTGCGGAGCCGCAGCGCAGGGTTTACACCTTTCAGGCCTGCCAAACGGCAAGCTTGAACCCCCAAGAAAAGACTCTGCCGGCACAGTTGGTGGCCACGGCAGCGCTTGTGCAAGTTGTGCGGAGCCGCTGCGGAGGGTTAGCCCCACACCAAAGGTGGTCCCAGGCGCCGCCCTGCCTAGGCCACAGCTCACGAGATCCATGGGAAAATCCACAGGAACACCCCATAATTTCCTGTAAAATTCCTGTGATACAACTGGCCTGTATTTTGGGTCTGTCTGAAATTGGTGAACATCCCCCAATCCATGGAAACTTCATGGGGAAATCAAGATAATCCATCATTTTTGCTCCCCCTCAACCATTTTGGATGCCTTAGGTGCGCGTGCCCGCTGAGTAGCTGGCCAAAGTCCGCTGGCCCATCTTTATCGAGCAGCTTCAGGTGGCTGGGATGGCAACAGAAATACCATCCGATAATCAAACGTGGCAATGGAACATCTATAAATGGAGGGTTTTAATTGGGACAATTATCTATACGAGGGGGATTCTCCATTGCCATGTTTGATTCATGAAGGGTATTTTTTTTTTAGTAAATATGTTTTTGTGCGTTGGCCACTCGAATCCGTGTTCTTTTTGCCCCGGAGAATGGAGATGCGACCGGGGAACACAACGGGAACACAACGGCTCGTCCGCCCGTAGCTGTGTCTCAGCTGCCGATTCAAGATTTCACAGTCCCACAGCCGGCCCCCTGATGCCATGGGAGCACGGCTGCTGGCGATATGGTGACCCTTGGCTGCGCTACGACAGCTTGTCCCCTCACCATGCTTCATCTGATCCATCCACAACAAAGTGGACAACACTTCTGTATATATAACATATAGATTCATATAGCCTAATTATTTAATAATGCATTATATATAATATATATTAATATCATATAATTATGTATATATATACATAATTTGATATTATACCCATCCCCAGTTGTTAGCTTGACCTTGGACACCCATTCCTCTGAGCTCCTGGTCCGGATCACTGAGTGAAGTTCCAGGCTTATTTCTTGGAGCCAAAGCGCAAGATGACTCGAGGAATTTTTCAAACCTATCCGCCCGACCGAGTGACCAAGCAGCACGATGTGACGACCGGCTGTTGATGCTGTTTTTTCTGTCTGTGGGGAGCATCACAATGGTCTGCTGTAGTCTGTGTGTGGATGTTCACTTGAGTACCAGGGGTTCATAGATGCTCAACAACACGACTTCCAGTCATAGTTGGGAGATGTTGGGAGTTTCATCCTCAAACCGCGGAAAGCTGCAGTGGACACACGTTTGGGTCATGTTCTTTTTAGACCATGACCAGATGCTGATTGGTCGAAATTGAAAGCCCTGGCAGCCACAGATCTTGGGTCCCTTCAATATTAACATAATAGTAAACTATTAAACTAATGTACATACATACATACATACATACATACACATACACATACACATACACATACACATACACATACACATACACATACACATACACATACACATATACATATACATATACATATATACATACATACATATATATATATACATATATATATACGTATATACATATATACATATATACATATATACATATATACATATATACAAATATACATATATACATATATACATATATACATATATACATATACACACATATGTATATATATATATATCATATATACATATATACATATATATATAATAAACATCCGCAGTTGTTTGTGGGTACCCTGGGTACCTAGGGTACCCAGTTCTTTTGACCCACGTCATCCTTTTTGGGTCCCTCCTGTTCAGGTGGGAATCCTTTTCGGGGTTCACCGATTGTGACACCTGGAGAAGAAATCGACTGTTCGGAAACATGTTACTGGGCAAAATTGGGTTTCTTTTTTTTGGGTGATGGGATATGAATGGGGTTGTACATAAATGGATTATAGTATATTATAATGAGATATGACTATAACCAACAATATTCTATTTGGGTTTGTCCAAAAACGGGAGATACATGAAAATGGCAGATAATGACAGATACCCCAAAAAGTAATTTTGATTGGGAAATGATAGGGAGCCATGATGAAGCCATGGATTCGAGACACCTGCAATTGTCCATATCAAAGGAGGCCCATGGTGCTTCCAGTTTGTACCCTGGTGAAAGAGGAAAGGGCTGGTAGATGGACGTTCATCCCTACAACGGTCGGATAGGCATTGACCAATCCCCACTTCAATCAGACCTGCGGCGAGGTAGTAGAAGTCACCATTGTCAAGACTGGCCTCTGCGAATGTGTGGGAAAGATCCTCATTGTGACAAAGCCGTGTGCTTGCACAAGCAGCCTCCTGGAAGCAAGTCTGGCCAGCCGGCCAGCCACACTTCACCAAAAATTGGTCCATTGGCACAGCATCTTTTAAGCCATGGCAGCAGCGGCTCTAGCATCTCCACATCTCCGGCCAAGGCTTTTCCCCATGCTGCCGCTGGATGTGACGTTACTCGGCTGGATTCAGGTCCGTACCAGGGATGTTCTTTTTTGAAACCAGGGATCCTCCCAGAAAAGCCGGAATATGAGACAACCCAAAGAAATACATCATAGGTTTGATGCTGACCATGAACAGAATGAAGATGGGATGCCACTGGGGTGTGGCTCCAAAATGCCAGCCAGCCATTTCTGGGGTCCCTTTGAACCTCGTTCTTGAGCCATACCCATCATTATCATAAAATTCAATGGTTCTTGTTGGTTGTATCATATAATCATACACATGATGTTGGTTAATTAAAACGTTGCAACCCCCCAAAATGACAGAACAGTAAAAATTCTACTAAACAAATGGCAAAGGACGTTTTCGTTTTGTTTTTGGGTGTTTCTACAAAGTATGTAGCTGTCCATGAGCTGCGAGGTTCTTCTTTGTGATCTTCATGGTCTCCTTTCTGGCAGGCCTGGGGTACAGTTTTCTCACCAAGAGACTGGGTACCCTCCAGCAAACCTGATACCCTCTATACCTTCTGGTAATTCAACATAGCTATTGAAAATGGTAATTTATAGTGGATTTACCCATTGAAAATGGTGATTTTCCATAGTTATGTTAGCTTACCAGAGGGTCATTGAAAACTACCCATTTATATCCATCTATATATACGATAAATAAATGAATCAATAAATAGATTGAACACATATACAGATACAAAACGATGCAATCTTTTCCCATTTACACATACACTACCTACAGATAAAACACTATCCGATTTTTCCCCCATTTTTGGCAGGTGCTCCAGGCATCGGAGGTGGTGGCATCAATGTGCCCTTGCTGATGATGCTGAACCGGTGCCCCGGCGATCCAACCGATCCAAAGTGACCCGCAACATGGGGAAAGGGGATGGAAAAAGGCTGAGAAACCATGGGATTTTGATGGTTTTTGATGGATTTCGGGATCAACTTTCAGACAGATCTAAATGTTGGTTTTCAAAATCTGACAGAGTGTTGATGCTGAATGGCAATTATAGTTCTTACTTCCCACCACATGTTTGATGGTTGAAATCCCCCATATCAGTTTCTAGCACATTTTTTTCCGTGGAAAAGAGATCGTTTTCCGTCGCTTTGGAATGGTTGGAATCGGACAATGAACCTGGCGTTGTGAGGTTTACCATCAAGGAAGCTGTTCCGATCTCCCACGTTGCCGCCTCTTGGCCTGACATCCTTCATGGATTTCATGGGAATGATGAGCTGTGAAGAACACAACAGGCCAAAGAACTGCGGCACTAGGTCTGGAAAATGCTCAGGAACAACACAACTGACACGAATATGTGACATATATATATATATATAATTCTGTATACCCGCACACACCCCTCTTTCTTTTAATATTTTTTAAATCAAATTCCAAATGAAGTGAGATATCCTGACAGCTGGATCTGTAATTTTCTGGCCACTGAGGTGATGGGTCTGGCCCTCAGTTTTTCCAGGGGAGGTTTGATGCCTTGAAATTGGCTGTGAACAGTGGAAGACCATGTTTCTTTGGAAAGGTCTGTGTTTTTTTCTCCACATTTTTGCGGAAAATAATTCTTGATGTTCAAGTTGTTCAAGTATATTTTTTTCCGGGACTTCCTGGATTGCACCCTGTGTTCTATGAAATTACTCTTGAAAGAGTTGTCCTGATTTTGAGTTGGGATAGCAACTTGGTAACCAGGCGACATTGGGACATTTACTCACAACAGTGGAATACAATGGGCATATCGGTATATCAATGTATACCATACATCATGATAAATCCAAGTTGGATACTGGTTGGTGGTTTGGAACATTTTTCATTTTTCCATATCTTGGGAATAATCATCCCAACTGACGAACTCATATTTTTCAGAGGGGTAGGTCAACCATTTTGGCTCAAGCCATTTTGGGGCTTGCGATCAATTTTGACAGAGGTAAGACAGAGGTCTTATGGAATCTGGCTGGCAGAGGCACAAAACAAATCAAAGCTGATGCTCACTTGGCAGGCGCGGTCATGAAATGGACCACCCAAGATGGCAAACTCATGCAGCTTCCGCTGTGTCAAGAGTACAAACACTTGGGATCCTGGCTTCAAACCAAGCATCGCCACGCCCGTGAGGTTGCCAAACGAGCCTCGGCAGCCAAGCAACAATTTGGTCAAATGTCCCGATCGTTTTTTACCAAGCGGCTGTCGTTAGATGTCCGTGCCAAGGTTTTCCAAAGTCTTGTCGTGTCCAAGCTCATGTTTAACGTCCACACTTGGGCCGGTGTCACTCCCCAAGACTTTGAAGCATGGAATAATTCTGCCCGTCCGATGGTTGCTGTCATGTTGCGTGGTCGCCTTGAAGTCCAGTCACGGTTTCAGCACACCACCGATGAGCTGTTCGCTGCCTGTGGCATTTTGCCCCTCCCTGACCAGCTTCATGCCCAACGCCTTCGCTTCCTCAAGCGCCTCCTGCAAGCCTGCCCACACATCACATGGATGCTCCTGGAAGCCACATCAGGTCCAGGCTCATGGATGCAACTCTGCCGGGACTCCCTCCGGTGGCTGTGTCGCCATCATGGGGGTCGATTGCCTGTGAGCCCTGATGCTTCCTTTGTTGATTGGGCCACTGCCATCATGTTAGATAGCCGGTGGAAGGGCAAGATCCGCAAGGCAACCCATCAGGCTCTTGCGTTCCATTCCGCCAAAGCGCGCCACCAGCTATGGCATCAGCATCTTTCCCAGCGCCTTGCACTGAATGGAGCCACACTCCCGGACCCGCCTGCCCAGAAAAAGGCCAGTGAAATCTGGCAATGTGACCTGTGCCCTAAGACCTTTGGCTCTTCTCGAGCCCTGGCTATGCATGCGGCCCGAGCCCACAACTATCGTAAGAAAGTCCGGTACTTTGCTGTAGGAGATGTGTGTCCAGTGTGCCTGCAATGCTTTCATACACGAAACCGCCTTGCCATCCATTATGAAAAGAATCCCGGCTGCTATGACACTGTGCAGGCCTGCTGGCCCCCCATGCCCAGCGCCCAGGTCGAAGCATTAGATCAAGAGGATCGCCAGACTGAGTCTGCGCTTCGCAAGGATGGCTGGTGGGCGTCAAAGGCCCTGCAACCAGCACTCAAACTCTCCGGTCCCAGTCTCCCTCCAGTGCACAGCCAGGAAGCCAAAGACATGTGGCAGAAGACACATGCCATCAGACCGCCTGACACTCTTGCCTTTGAAAACTTGCAGGGTCGCCGCATCAGCTGCAAGGACAGTACCGATCCTCAGCTATGGTGGCAGACGAGCGACCTCCCTGCGTTTGTTTTTCAATCCCACCAAGGCCTAGACCGAGGGGCTGGAGCATACTCCATGTATGGCCTTGCCAGGGAAGCTGCGATGTTGCATGTCCGGGCCCTGGTTATTGTGCATTTCTTTAGCGGCTACCGAAGAGTCGGTGATATTCATGATATCATCGATCATCGCATCCAGCCATCTGGCGCACACATTTTTACGCTCTCAGTAGATTTATGCATGCAGCGCCAACACGCAGACCTAGCACGGCCTGAAGCCCTGAAGTGGTGGCAGTCTCGCGCGGCATCGGGACAGCTGGTATGCACAGGGGGCGGCCCGCCCTGTGAAACATACACGGCCGCCCGCTTCCATGCCATTGGAGATGAAGCAGGCCCCAGGCCGTTGAGATCGGGGGCGCACCCTACCGGCCTCCCAGCGCTCACCAGAAAAGAGCAAGCTCAGGTTTGGATCGGAGATTGCTTGCTGCGTTTCCTAATCGACATGCTCTCAATCATGGCCGCCCTTGGCATGTCTGGATTCCTGGAACATCCACAGTTTCCTACATGGTGCGGACACATGGACCCGCCCAGTGTCTGGGCAATGGATGCCATTAAGCTGTTGAAGGGCCTGCAATGTTTCTCGGTCGTGAGCTTTGACCAATGCACGTGCGGTGCTGCGGGGAAAAAACCTACCACCCTTCTTTTGCTCCGTCTCCCTGGTGTTCGCAATGCGCTCCTCCAACAAGGACGATTTGGAAGATGTGATCATTTGCCAGGCACTCATGAGGCGCTGATAGGAAAGCAATCAGATGGATCCTACCAGACTGCAAAAGCAAAGGTTTACCCACCTGGGTTGAATCTCATTTTGGGCAATGCGATGTATGCGTTTGCTCACGAGCTGGCCACTGGAGCAGAAGCCACCGAATTGCCAGAAGAGTTTCACCCATATCTGCAACAGAGCTTCGAAGACACAACAGTTGTCCAACCTGACTACCACCATCAGGTATGAAGCTGTTGCCCAGTTGTGCATGTGACCACGTGTCAATTGACACAGCATTGGCAATGGAAAAAAAATGGGGTAGGTCAACCACCAACCAGGATGTTTGTTGGTTGGTGTTTTTCAAGTCCTTCAATTTTCAGAGATGATGGTCCCAACCGGGATGGTTTGGGGACATCCCGACCTGCGATGACTTGGTAGCAACAAAAAACCGAGATAGGATCCACATCATCGAATCCATTGTCCCCTTTGGGTTTGAAAATCATCCGATGGTTTAACAATGTTTAACACATTGTTTGTGAATGTTTGTTATTTTCATAGGTAGGGATAATTGATGATCATTGTATCTCAGTAAAGCCAGTTGCTCGAGGCAATGCCTTGTCCCAGCTGCTGTTCAACACCCGCCTGCGACATCCTTCGATGTCCTTACGGCCATTGATACACTATGAGCCTTGATTTTAGCCCACCATAAGTGGGAAGATCATCGGATATAATGGGGATATCATGTGATATATATATATATATACACTGTATATATATATATACATACAAATTTGGGTGTGTCCAAAAAGAGGAGATACACCAAACATTCAACTTTGATTGGGAAACTGATGATACAACATCAAACATTCAGGGGTGCTCCATTTTCGGACGAACCCACTTGGAATAGTCAAAACTATCGTCAAGCTGCTGGTTGAGGGACGTTGGTTGGGGACCAAAATATCTGGCCAAAGGATTTCCAGAATGTGGATGTAATGTGGTAAACCCATTGCCACAAGCCTTCTTTTTGGGTATGGTGTTTCTTTTTTGCACCCCTAAAGGTAAACTTGGGTAAAGGGGGCGCGAACTGAACAGATCCAATATCCAACACCAAGCAGGTTTTGGGACGAATGCCTCAGCCCCCTATGGCCCCCTATGATTTAAGTGGTGGCCCAGGAGATTGCGGCTGTCCTGCTACCTGCAATGTCGGGATGCCTAGCAAAGGAATCTGGAGGTGGCTTCAGGTCCGCTTCAATGTGCCAGCTCCGGGATTAGTAAACCCTGGTTGATCAAATAGATAGCAATTATAGTGGTATCCTCCCAATTAATATAGCTGGGGTTAATCAATGTGGGGTTGACATTCATGATTTTGTGACATTCTCTCAGGAGTTTCACCTGTCAATTTTGCTGGTTGGATTCTTTGTGGCTAGTGAACTTGCCATTTGTTGGTTGATGGCCCCAGCCCCATTTTGGTCGCCTCAAAGGTTGGGAGGCAACTCTCTTGGTATCGTGGTGTCCAAGGCCGGGTTCAAGCCAGGGCCTCTGCTTAGGATGGAGGTAAACCCCAGAAAACTGGTGGAATCAGCAAAAAAAAGGTAACAGTGATGTGGGTTTGTCTGAAAATGGTGGTTTATGGCAAGTTATTGCCATTTTAATGGGAACAACAACTTTTAAACCGTGGATTGGGGGGTACCCTATTCTCAGCCCCATGGAGTATTCCTTGCAACGACGCCAAGTCTTTCCGCCCACAGCGCTGGTGCTGCTGTCGCTCATCCTCTTGCTCTTTGCAGCTGCTAAGACCATGCACAAAGGACAAAACAAGTCCAGATGGGTCCAGTGGGTTTGATGGCCAAGTTCCGGAAGAAATGACATGTGCCGATTTGCTCCGCATTTTCTATGTCACTCTTTCTTATTTACCTTTCCATTCTTACTTGGAGATTGAGTTGTTTTCAACTATTTCTGGGATGGGTTGAAATGTTGTCATGTTATTTGACTTATCCTCTCAAAGCGGTGGCGTAAGTTTCAAAGTGTATTTGCACTCCACCATAAAACCCATGTATAATAGATATGTATCTGACAGCTGTGCGGCTCAGGTAAAAGGTATTGCGCCTGGGTTGCTTTGCTTAACGGTTTTACCCCATTGTTTTAGGTTTATCAGTCCATTTGGGTGTAATAGGAATTACCCCTGCTGAAACCTGAAAATACAGGTTATCAGCCGTAGTCTCTAAAGCCATGGACAAATCACATGATGCTACAGGTGGTGGTGCTCTCGTGCCTGCATCAGGAACACTGGCGACTGCATCGACTGGATCTCAGCCTGCGACGGCTGGGGCAACTCCCACGCCCATGTCGGTAGATGAAGGTTTCTTCACACAGCCCGTCCAGGCGTATTTTCAGTTCGTGCAGAACAATCTTACCTACATTAATGAAGGTAACATTGACGCTTTCAGACAAGAGGCAGAAGAGAGACACACACATCTCATGGAACAAAAGGTCCAGCAACTGTACCAAGAGTTTGAGGGAATTTGCCTTAGTGAAATCGCCCATCAACGTGCAGAAGCTGATCGTAGACATGAACACCTAGTATCAGAGTATTCAATGTCCCAAACGGCAACTGAGCATGAGGTCACAAAACTGAGACAGGAACTTAGCGATGCAAATGCAAAGCTGAAGAACGCTGCGAATGCAGTTGCACTGGAAGCTGAGCAGAGAGCAAACCAAAAGGTAGCCCACGTCACAGCCCAGTACGAACAAAGGTTTTCTGAACTCAGAGGTAGCCTCGAGGCAGACTGTAAACGAATCGTGGACGAAACAGTGGAGTATGCAAAGAACGGCATGGAAGGTTTCAAGAAGGAGGAACAAGCTGTAATCCAGGAGATTAGAGAGGAATGCAGTAGGCAGGAAAACCAAGCTGCTGAACTCAACTATCAACTACAGGGACAAGTGGAGGATTTGTTGGAGAAGCTCAACAAGTATAGCACCCCTGAAATCAAGGTCGACAGAGCCGTCGAAGTCGATGATGGACAAGGAGGGAACACTGTTGATTTGTACTTGACCCCAAAATCAGCGGTCGGTACGAAGGCTGGAGCAGAACCCATGCCAAACACTGGTATGTGCAGCTTAGCCATGGACGCAAAAGAAAGATTGAGCAATTTATTCTCAACAACCCCTGCCGGATCAGCAGCACCTCCAAAATTGCCGCCATTGCCCGTTCAAAGACAAAACGACGATGATGCAAACCAAGAACCAAGTGTGCCCAGTCCTACAGCACTAGCAAGCGACACTGGCAAGAAAGCTGCTGATGCAGGCTTAGGTCTTTCAGGTCAACAATTGTTAGATCTCATCACTAGACTGACTTCAAAGGATTCAGATGGTGAAAAGCCCCGAACAAAAGAGGCAGAGACTATCAAACTGAATGACATGCCTGCCCCAGAAGCGTATCGTCACTGGCGTAATCACGTCAGAGATGAAGTCAAGTCGTGCTCCGACAAACCCGATGAGGCTTGGCTTTGGCTCAATGAAGTCTTTGACAACAAAACTCCTAGGGAAAAGTTGGAGGAAAAGCTACAGGAACCTGGGAAATTCATCACACTTGATACCAAGTTGTCGGCAGCGTTAACTCGCTCGGCCAAAGGTGATTTAGCAACAAAGATCCACAACTTCAAAGATGAAAAGTCAAAGAAAGGGATCCAAGTTAGAGGTAGGAGAGTCCTTTTAATGTTTGAAGATTACTTCAGGACGTCTGAGGAAGCCGGAAGTCTCTATCGTGTGGAGGACCTACTTGGAGTCATCCGCACTGGAGAATCTGTGGAGGACCTTAGAAGGTTTTTGAACCGATGGGACGCCACAATTGCCGGCATGGAAACCCCACCAGATGACTTGGTTCTCAGAGACATTCTACTCAGACAAATTCGAAAATGCCATTTGATGAAGTATGACATTGAAGCATTCGACAGAGCTCCTGAAAAGTCGGAACAGAAGTCTTATGCATTCTTGTTGAGAAACATTCGTGATCTTTTGGATAGAGAAAGACTCCGTTCAAACAGAAACAGAATCGTTGAAAAGAACAAGCAGACCGAAAAGCCTCAGCCCGCTGCACCCGCTCAGGGGGGCAAAGATCGCGGCAAAGGAAAGGGTGATCGAGGTCGATCCCGTGGTCGAAGCCAGAGTGGAAAAGGGGATAGGATATGCTACAAATTCAGGGATGGCAAGTGCGAAAAGGGTAAAGACTGTCCCTACAAGCATGTCAAGGATTCCTCAAGATCTGGTACCCCCAAAAAGAAGGGTAAGGGCAAAGGCGGTAGCAGAAGTGGTTCCCCTAACAGAAAGTCAAGGGAAGAGATGGCCAAGATCCCATGCACTTACTTCCAACAGGGCAAATGTCGTCGTGGTGACAAATGTTTTTACAAACATGAAGTTGCAGCTGCACCCACAAAGGATCCAAAGCGCACTAATAGCCCTGCTCCAAAGAAGAAGGCCAGTGCAAAAGCTGCGCCATGCGTTACACAAAGGTATGCATGCATAGCAAAGGGAAAAGGGTTGCCAAAGGCTACAAAGGCCATGAAAGAACAATGCCATAGAGCTGTTGTGTTTTCATCAAAAGTGGAATACATCAAAGTCCCAGCAACAGGTGAACAGAGAAAGGTAGTGCACAAACCCCGAATCTATGAGAAGACGTTCCCTGATTCAGAGTCAGTGCCAAAGCCGGACAAACTCACTGCTCACCGTGCTCAGGTTTCGGCCAGGCAGTTGCAGGAACTTGTGAAGCTCTTCGACAACGACGTGCAGCCCAAGTGCCGATTCCGATGCAATGACCCCGAAGGTGGAGTCTCATGTAACCACTGCAGAGCTCTGATCGGTCCAAAGAACAAACTCAGTAACACTCATTTGCCAACTGTTGCCACTCCTGCTTCAAAAGACGGATGTGTTTGGTTGGTTGACACTGGTAGTGAACAGGACTTGATCAGTGAAGGCATGTTGAAGACTGCAAAGGCGACAAATCGCCGTGTCAGTGACACTCCAATCAGTCTTGCCACAGCCAACGGTTCAACACGTGCGGATGAGGTGGCCGACGTAAAGGTCGATGCCCTACACCAGCCGTTCTCACCATACATTCTTGAGGAAACTCCCGCTGTTCTTTCGGTTGGGGTAAGATGTATGGAGCAGGGATACAGTTTTGTTTGGCCGGCTGACGGTAGGCCTTACTTCATTCGTCCGGATATGGGAGTCGTCGAGCTCAATGTAGACGGCCGTGTGCCGGTTATTGATAGCTCTTGTCGTGTTTTGAACAGTGGACAGTTCAAGAAAGATTGTGATTTGTTGCGTCTCTTTGCAATGGTTGCTGCAAAAGCAGAAGGTGCCGATGAAGAAGGTGTGGATGAGGGAGTAGCTCACGATAGTGAAACCGATTACATCAGATCTAGAAAGGCATCCGACCTTGAGCAAGAAGCATGTAGCAAGTCTCATCAATTTTGCCATTACCCCAAGAATCCATTTTGCAAGATCTGTCAGAAGGCGCGTATGATGGCGCCACCCGCAAAGAAGAAGGGAGGACAGAAAAGATTGGAAACCAAAAGTTTTGGGGATCACATTGTCGCTGACCACACTGTAATCAAATCCAATGTGGAAGAAGGCGTCAAAGGTGAAACAGTGGCATTGGTGATGAAGGACATCCACACACAGTTCAGGCACGTTTATCCAAGTCAGACCAAATCAAGTGAATCATGTGTCAACGCTTTCAACCACTTCTTATCTCACAAGGATGAAGTTGGGGCAGTTTACACTGACAATTCAAGAGAACTTATTGCTACAATTTCAGAGTGGGGGTACAGACATCAAACGTCAACAGAGTATGTAGACAGTTCAAAGTCGTTTGTGGAGAGGGAGATCAGACACATGCTTGAAGGCACCCGCACAAACCTTGTGCAGTCCGGTCTTCCATTGCAGTACTGGCCACTGGCTATGCAGCATTTCTCCATGGCAGTGAACGCTACGCCACAGCTCAATGGTGATGATGCCCCATGGAAACTCCGATTCGAAGAAGATTTTCCAGGTCAGTCGATTCCTTTCGGTGCAAAGATACTGTTTTGGAACAATCCAAAAAGGGTTGACAACACATCTGGAAAGACATCACCAACTGCAAATGATGGAATCTTTTTGGGATACCACATTCAACCTGGTTTTGCATGGAAGGGTGAGTATCTTGTTGCCAAATTAGAAGCATTGGATTATCATGCAGAAACGGGCAGCATCACAGTGCAGCGAGCACGACGTGTTGAGCTCATCGCGGGAGGTTTTGTTTTCCCACTCCGTGCATTGAAAGAGGCCAAAGAGCCCAAGCCGGACCGTCTCGCGGACAATGTCATTGCTGATCCTCGTCCGATTCCGTTTCAATCTGAATTACAAACTGAGGAACACGCAGAAGCAAGTGAAGAAGCAATTGACAAGTCAACGGAGGCAGTGCTTGACGCACTCGCCAGTGATGACAAGCCGGCTGAAGAAACGATTTTTCCTGATATCAAGTACACTCCAACTGGAACACCAATTCCGGATGGATATCATTGGGACGGAACACGCCTTGTGAAAACGTACAAAGGGTCAAAACGCCCTGAGTCAATCCCATCAGATTTTTGGAAAATGCTTAGTCCAAAGGATAGGCAAAAGCTCGTTGAGGAGGAGGCTGAGAAAATGGCTGTTGGCAGCGGCGGTGCTGCATCAAGCTCAGCATCAAAGGTTCCGAAGAAGAAGAAAGGTGCAGTGGCAACTGCAAGAAAGCTTCGGGTAAACCCTAGCCCCTCAGGTGAGCCTACTGTGTCAAAATGGGAGGTCATTCCAAAGGATAGACCGAAGTTTTGCGTCCCTGCAATGCCGAAAGCGGTTCCAGCAAAAGCTGAACTGTATCGCCCGGAATTGAGAGAGATGATCAAGAACAAGATCACAGAGTTGGAATTCAAAGTGGCACTTGAATTGTTTTCTGCTGTTGCACGTTTGGTCCCCAAAGACGAGGTTAGAAGAAATCCCAAAGCAAAAGCTGCCTTAGATAAGGAATGGGAGAACCTCAGAAACAAAGGAGTTTGGGATGAATCCAGGGTTAAGGAATGTAAGAGCATTGTTGAAGAAGCCCGCAAAAAGGGAGAAACAGTACATCTTGGTCGGATTTTGGAAGCCTGCTACGAAAAGGGATCAGAGCTTCCAGCCGATGACCCTCGTAGGAAATTCAAGGGTCGTACTGTCTTCCAGGGCAACAATGTCCGCGACCAGGATTCCGACCACGCGTTGTTCGCCGAGTTAGGTAGCAGTCCTGCTTCGATGGAAGCTGCAAAGCTTCTCGACGCGTTTGGTTCTCAGCCCGGATTTTCAAAAGCTCAGGCAGACGCCATTCAAGCTTACATCCAGGCCCTCTTCACTGGGGTGCCCACATGGCTATCATTGCCACGGAACAGATGGCCAGAACATTGGGAAAAGCAATTCTGGCAACCTATGGTTCCATTGGTATTAGCTTTGTACGGGCATCCAGACAGTGGTGGTATTTGGGAAAACCATCTCAACAGTAGAATCGGAAAAGAAGGTTGGAAACAAATTCTTCCTGATGTTTGGCAAAGTATTTTCTATCATGCTGAGTACAATTGCATGTTGGTTGTTTACGTGGATGATTTCAAACTCGCAGGTCCCACAGAGAACATGGATAAAGCATGGGCAAGTATCAAACGACCTGTCAACATTGGTGACCCCGAACCTTATGATCGATATTTCGGTTGTCAACATGTGGAGTTTAACAACGTTACACTACCACGAAAAGCTCATCCTTTTGCACATGTTTTTGATTCTCAAGCGGCTGCTGCGACACGTACACAACACCGAACAAATGATTTTTGGCAGCATGACCCCTTCAACAAAACTTGGACAAGGTATCATCTCCAGCCACGGAAGAAGTTGTTCGAGCCTGGTGATGAGGGGGGGGAGTTTGCCAAGTCTTTACATTCAGAACGGGTTACAATGTTCGACAAAAATGTTGAATTCAGAGGTCTCCCGGTTCTCAACATGCATATGTCAGATGAAAATTCAACTATTGTTGAGGATGACATGACAGTGGATCAAAAGATTCAGACAAAGGACTTCTGGACAGGAAGAACAATCTTTAGATACGGTGACGAGTCTGGCAACACTATATAATCAGTTTGCCCTCCCATCAAAGAACAGACCCGGTCCGCACAGAGACAAAAGGGAAGCCAAGAATGAGAAGAAATCTCAACGGTTCAAAAGCATTGAGAATGTTGTCACAAACAAATCCGGTTGCATGAACAAACCTGTAAACCTGGTTAGGTACGACATGTCTTCTTTCATGGAATCATGTGTAGATGCATACTGTGAGCTGGCAAAGGTTCAGAAAGAGGACTTGCCAGCAGTTGCAACGCCGTTCACAGAAGCGGGAATAGCCCGGCCAACTCTCGACGAGAAGGAGAAGCCAGGGAGGTTGCAGCCGATTGCATCAAAGGTCCTGATGAAGATTCTCTTTGCGGCCCGTATGGCACGCCCAGATCTCTTAAGAGCTACTCAGAGCTTGGCATCTAGAGTGACGAAATGGTCCATCGAGTGTGATATTGCATTGCACCGATGGGTATCATACATCAAGTCAACTACAGATGTTTACATGGAGGGTTTTGTGGGAGACTCGTTTGAGGGTTGTCAACTGTGGCTATTTGCAGACGCTGATCATGCGGGGGAACATGATTCAAAATCAACTTCGGGTTGTGCAATGTTTCTTGTAGGGCCAAACACCTACTTCCCTTTGAACGCATTCAGCAAAAAGCAGACAGTTGTAGCAAACTCGTCCACTGAAGCCGAAGTCGTGTCAGCCAATCACGCACTCAGAGCAGAAGGGATTCCAATGTTAGCGTTGTTGGAGCAACTGGGCATTTTCAAGAAATTGTCGCAGAAGGCTGGGTCAAACCCCAAGCCAAACATCCCCGAACAAAGTGATCCTGTTTTTACTCGTATCGACAAAGAGATCGATGAAATCAGGTATGGTAATGTTGAGGGGGGCCTTTCTGCGGCAAACATCAATGGATTGAAGGCCCATTTTCCGGAGTTCTATCAAGTGAAGTTCATGGAAGATAATCAAGCTTCTATAACTGTGATGAGCACCGGTAATTCCTCCACCATGCGCTACGCCAACAAAACTCAAAACATCTGTTTCAAGTGGATGAAACAACAGTTTGAGGAGGAACAATTTGACCTCATTAATGTTGGCACCAATTGGCAAACAGCTGACATTCTTACAAAACCTTTTGCTTCCCCAACAAAATGGGAACATGCTTTGAGGTTGATGGCCATTGGAAAGACTTGGATCGACGCTGACAAGCCGAAGGTGCGCCAAGTAGATTCCAAGCCTGCGTGTCCAGCTAATGCCAACGATCAGGGGGGTGACATAACGGTTCAAATTCTTTCCAAAGGATGTTGATTGAGTTTTGCTGTTCAAGTGATTCGAAGCTATGTACACCGCGGGAAGCCAGCAAAGGGTGCAGATTGATCAGAGTTACAGAAAATGAAGATGGCACCACCCAAGGCTGCCGCAAATGGCTAGCCCAAGAAGTCCAGTCATTCAGGGAAAGTAACCCAGAGGGAGAAATTTTGCTTTATGCATCATTGCCATGCGTTGGCGGCAGTCCATGGGGTTACATCAACAGTTTGACTGTCACTGGGGCTGAACGAATCGAACAGCAACAAAAAAGAATTTACAAAACTTTTCAAATCACTTCAAAAGATTATCAGTGAAATCGATGGGCCACATTTTTCAATTGCGTTTGAACTCTCAAAGAACTGCAAGTATTGGAAATGGCCAATGGTCCAATCGTTTTTGAAGAAACAAGAGTTGAAGTTGTATCCATTCCATGGTTGCCAGTTTGGGGTTGTTGACTTGGACGGGAACCCAATGAAAAAGGGTTGGATGATTGCAACAAACATGGAAGAGTTGTCAAGTCTTTCAGAATACGGTTGTGACGGTTCTCACACTCATGGTCAAAGCCGGGGTACCGCATTGAAACTTGCAGAGAACTACACATTCACTTTGACTGACTTTATCCATGATTGTTTTCGTTCCAGAGCTAACCAGGCACAAACCGCCAAGAACAGGAAAAGGTTAGCTTTGCCCGCCATGAGCCGCCGTTCTGATGATTCAAATTTGACAATCACTGAAAAGATGAACGCGCGTGCTCTCAAGTCGGCCGTTTTTAAAACCGTGCCCCAACAAAGCAACATGTCGGAGTGGCTTGCTTTTCGGAAGTGCCTTGATGTTCAGGGGGATAGGCATGCAGGGTGGGAGGACATCTTTTCAACGGTCCTCGCTTCGTCGACGATCCTGGCGCAAGGAAACAGGACAGAAGACCTTGAGATTGCCGCAGGATTAATGCAATGTTTCACTGTTTCACTGCGCAGTCCATGTCAACTGACGCCCTGACAAACGTGCCGTGGGCAAAGGAGATCCGCCATCTGTCCGAGCTCGAGCACGACTCGCTGTGGGATTTGAACTTGCCTACTGAGTATGTCCCTGGGACTTCAAGGCCGGCGGTAGACGTCGTGCCCACCATCTATGTGGTGACTTCCGATTCAACTTTGGCTCTGATCACTGGAAAGGGTAGGACTTTGAAGAAGTACACCTTGAAGGAGGATCTGGGATTGCGAAAGTCGGACATGGTTCTCGAAATCGGTCATGACATGCTCTGGGGAAAGGATTTGCAACAGCTCTGCAAAGCAAATATTTCTATGATCAAGGGGTTGATGGCGAAATATGCTTCTCATGGATCAGCCATCAGGGTTATTTCGGTAATCTTTTGGTCTGGGAATGAAATTTGTGGGGAATATGGTGTTGAACCCCTTCCCATTTGGGGGCAGAGGGAACCACAGGGCGACTGGAATGCCATCATGGACAGGGTAAAGGGCAACATTGTGTGGTGGAATCAGCAGCTCAAGGAATTGGGAGTGGATCAGGCCGCCCTAATCGGCGAGCCCGACCCGCTCACTTATGGATTGAGTCTCATTTTTACCACATTTGTGGAGCGTTTGAAGGAATGGTTCTTCAAAGAGATTGCCAGTGACAACGATCGGATCAGGTGGATTCAGAATGATAAGCTTCCACCGAGGCTTGAGCTCAGGGACTACTTTCACGCATTCGAGACCGAGCTCAACCGAAGTGAGATGATCGGATACGTCATGACAACTCTCCACATGCTGCACATGACAGACATTTTGGTGCCCCAGTACAACCTGTCTTTGTACAAGCGAAAGCGTCCTGCAGGGGAAGCTACTATGCGTGACATCCCACCAAAGATGGAGCATCTCCCAGTCAGGTTTGTGCAGGTCCTCACCGCTCTACGGGAGAAGACAAACAAGTCTACGCCAAGCGTCTCGATCCCAGAAAGCTTGACGGCAGAGGAATTGAGAGACCGCCCAACTGACGCTGGTGTTGCCGATGATGATGATGAGGAAGGTGACCCATGGGATGCCCTGGATGCAAATGAGTATGAGGGCCCATCAGTGGGAAAGGCAAAGGCCAGTCACGCTGCTCCTCCTGACCCCAAGGCAAAAGCTCCGCCTGCACAGGAAGACTCAACTCAGGCCACCCCAACCGGTGAGCCCACGCAGGAAAATAAGCTCAAAGGCACGATCATCCCGAAACATGCACTTGGACACATTGACAAGTATCGGATCATGCTGGACGAGAACATTAATGCGGAAGTAGTTGAGCATTGTGTTGTGGACGCCCATCCATATGAATTGATCACCAAAACATGTTGGGAGATGGATGGAGCCAAGGAGCTGAGGTACCCAGATCGCATGGACCGACACAAAACCAAGGTCAATGCTGTGACTCGTGGACAGCCAGGTCAGGACACCTCTGGATTTGATGAAAACATGTGGCTTGACCTTGATGACTTCTTTCGAATGTTCAATCAAATGCTGCCAGCCAAGTTACCCCGAATGACGGTTGAAGAGCTCATCTCCCTTCTCTACTGGGACAGCAAGTGTCGTTTTGAGTTCCAGTGCATTGCAGGATACCAGAAGGCAACCCGTAAAGGGTTAGCCTACTGGCCCATCAGGATCCGTGCAGTGCAAGGGCACACAAAGCGTGCCATGGATGCTGCATCAGCTGATGATGCATTCAATGCGGTGGAGATCTATGCACTGTCTGGCGCTGCAGCCATTCAGAAGATGAACGCCAAGGGCAAGAAGATCACAACACCGCAGATGTGCCCAGGCGTAGTCTATCACAGGACTACGAAAGGCAATTGGAAGGGGATCATTGAGAACGGTTTCTTGGCTGGAGGAGGTGAACGAAATTCATCAGGCAGGGCACACTCCTATTTTAGTGAAGTGCGTGTCGATGAGAAAGAGTACGTCAGCGGCCTACGTGCTGAGCGACCCATTGAAATCAGGGTTGCAATGGCTGAGGCAGTCAAAGCTGGAATTGTGTTTTTCAGGACCGCCTCTGACGGCATTCTCACAAGCGATGTCGTGCCGCCTCAGTACATCATTTCTGTTGATGACACTGCCAAAAAGGTGAATTTGTATCGTCGCCATCAGGAGGTCGCGCATTCTGCAACGAGCAGTGGGGGAGAAGTCGGAGTCCAACAGCTTGTCGAGACCTTTGAGGCCAAGGCATCAAAACGAGCTGGATCAAAGTCTCCGGCCGCCTCAACTGGCGCGCCCACTGCAACAGCATTTTTCCCAGGAAAGGTGAAGCCTCCGCCACCGAATGTGGCTCAACTTGCCGGTATGCCTGGATATGCAAGCAGCAGATTGTTGCCTCCTCCTCCAAAAGGCGAAGCTCCGAAACCTCCAGCAGCAAAGGTTGAAAGCCCAAAGACACCGCCAAAGGCACCTCCAAAACCACCAAGTTCCAAAAGCCGTGACCTCAGAAGTTGATGCATCAGCAGAAGGAGAACCTGCAAAGAAGAAGGCAGCCCTGACAAGCGTGCCCGCAGCTGTGCCTGCGGCATCATCAGCTGCGGCCTTCTTGGAGCCTGTGTCAAAGATTGCACCGCCAAAGGCAGCGCAGAAAGATCCAAAAGCTCCGGTTGCAGGGTCACCTTCAAAAACGCCGGCATCAACATCCAAGTCACTTGTGCCAAAGCAGAAGTCTCGCCCCAAAGGCGATGACCAACCTTCGAAGAAAGAGGAAAAGAAGGAGGACAAGAAGCCGGTGCCAATCAAGATTGAAGTCACGCAGTGCACACGATGTTTTGCTCAGACCTTCAAAGGGCAGATTGAATGCGATGTGTGTGGTTTGATGCTCGAAGGGGTGAACAAGGCCGACCGGACCAAAATTGCAGAGCGAAGGAAGGCCGCCCTTCACAAGCTGGGCTTGTACTATGATTTTCGTGTTGAGTACCTGCAGAGCATCACACACAGTCAGCTGGAGTCTTTGGGTTTGTTGGACGACCAGGCAAGAGGAAGCTCTAGCCCTGAAGCTAGTTTATTAGCAAGGGCGAAGAGCCGATTCGATCGTGCCGTGAGCTTGGGCTATGTGTCCGTGGCAGACAGATTTGCCCAGGACGCCACATTTGCAGAGAGCGTGCTGAACGAGGGGGAGAACGAGTACGATTGCGAAAGGTACGATCTCCTCAAGTCTGCACATCTGCCAAAGCCAGGTCGTACAAAGGCTCAGGTCAAGATGGGTGTTTCCGAGCAATCTCAATTGGAGCACAATGCAATGAGGTTGGTTTACTTGGATCTTGCAAGCCGTCTTGACGTCCCCAAGTCCTTCAGGTACATCGATCAGCCGTGGTTTTACATGTACCGGACTGAAATTTACTCTGAGGAAGAATACATCGACTATCTGAAGCGAAATCCTCAGCACAATCTTTTGTTGTCATGTACTGGCGTTGACAACATTGCTGTTCATGATGCTGAACGGCATTTGAGGTGGATTAAGGGCCAAAACGAGGAGCTGTACAAGCAGAATGCTGCGGAGAAGAAGAAACAGTCTGACAGGGCTCGCGAACAGAACGAGGCCAAGCGCAAAGCTGAGCAGACTGGGGCGTACGGCCAAGGGCCCTCAAAGAAAGGCACCGTTAACCCGGTTGCCCGAACATCCACTGTAGAGGTAGCTTCATCATCAACGTCTGCAAGTCTGTGGATCAACCGCCCTCAGCAAAGTCAGTCCCATGATGACCGCCGTTACACTGGAGAATGGCAGAAGTGGCACGGGCGCTGTTATCAGAAAGTTATCAGGCATGGCCGAGTTGAATGGGAAGAGGGATAAGTTGTGAAACTGCTTGCATTGGCGATCGATTTTTGTACCATAGCCGCCGTGTTGGGTTTCCTCAGGTCGTGCAAAAGGGCCAGGAGCGGTAAGGCAGACCAAAATGGTCTCGCCCTGGTAAGTGGGCAGCCTTGCCGTGACCGGCTCACCTGAGGGGGGTGTATTTGCACTCCACCATAAAACCCATGTATAATAGATATGTATCTGACAGCTGTGCGGCTCAGGTAAAAGGTATTGCGCCTGGGTTGCTTTGCTTAACGGTTTTACCCCATTGTTTTAGGTTTATCAGTCCATTTGGGTGTAATAGGAATTACCCCTGCTGAAACCTGAAAATACACAAAGATAGGAAACCTATAGAAGCGGTGGGTTGTTGTGACGCATGGATGGCAGAACGAAGGCTGATGGACCGGAAAGGTGGTTGAGGCTCCCGCTCTCTCTCTCTCTCTACCTATTTATCTATTTATCTATTTATCTATTTATCTATTTATCTATTTATCTATTTATCTATTTATCTATCCACCTATCCACCTGTCTACCTGTCTACCTATATACCTATCTACCTATCTGCATATCTACCTACTTACCTATTTACCTATCTAATCTAGTCTAGTCGAATCTAGTCTAATCTAATCTAACCAATCTAATCAATCTAATCAATCTAATCAATCCAATCAATCTACAAGTCTACCAATCTATCAATCTATCAACCTATCGTAACCGTCGTAACCTATCAACCTATCCATCAATCAATCTATCTCTCCATCTATCTCTCCATCTATCTATCCATCTACCTATCCATCTACCTACCTACCTACCTATCTATCTATCTATCTATCTGTCTATCTATCTATCTATCTATCTATTGATCGATCTATCTATCTATCGGCCGATCGATCTCCCTATCTCTCTATCTCTCTATCTCTCTACCTATCTACCTATCTATCTATCTATCTACCTATCTGCCTATCTATCTACCTATCTATCTATTTATCTATCTGTCTGCCTGTCTATCTATCTATCTATCTACCTACCTATCTATCTTTATATCTATCTATCTATCTATCTGTCTATCAATCTATCTATCTACCTATCTTTCTATCAATCTATCTGCCTATCTATCTATCTACCTATTTATCTACCTATCTGTCTATCAATCTTTTTAATCTATCAACCATTTATCAACCATTTACCAACCATTTATCAATCATTTACCAACCATTTATCAATCATTTACCAACCATTTATCAACCATTTGCCAACCATTTATCAATCATTTACCAACCATTTATCAATCATTTACCAACCATTTATCAGCCGTTTATCAATCATTTACCAACCATTTATCAACCGTTTACCAACCATTTATCAATCATTTACCAACCATTTATCAATCATTTACCAACCATTTATCAATCATTTATCAACCATTTCCCAACCATTTCAACCATTTACCAACCATTTATCAACAATTTACCAACCATTTATCAATCATTTACCAACCATTTATCAATCATTTACCAACCATTTATCAGCCGTTTATCAATCATTTACCAACCATTTATCAACCATTTATCAATCATTTACCAACCATTTATCAGCCGTTTATCAATCATTTACCAACCATTTATCAACCATTTACCAGCCATTTATCAATCATTTACCAACCATTTATCGATCATTTACCAACCATTTATCAATCATCTACCAGCCATTTCCCAACCATTTCAACCATTTACCAACCATTTACCAACCATTTATCAATCATTTACCAACCATTTATCAATCATTTATCAACCATTTATCAATCATTTACCAACCATTTAACAATCATTTATCAACCATTTATCAATCATTTACCAACCATTTATCAATCATTTATCAACCATTTCCCAACCATTTCAACCATTTTATCACCCTTAGTTGTTTGGATCTAGGTACCCAGTGCCTCCCAAGTCTCCCCAGGACTGGTTGCCTTTCGGAACTCTGGACCTGCCAAAGGTGGACTGGTGGAGCGGGGTTCTATCCCCGTGCCGAACATGTCAGGTTGGTGACATATGAGAATTGATCCATATATTTTTGCAATATGTATATAAATTTGTATATATATATATATCTAAATATGTGTGTATGTATATATATATGTATTTATGTCTATGTATTAGTATTATACTATATATATATATACATAATACATATGTATATTTCTCATCCGGATCGTTGTTGAATTTCAAGTGCTTGTTGCAAGTTTATATGAGAAAGCAAAACAGGATTACTGTTTTCCTTTGTTGTCAATTTTATGCTTCATGATTTTGCCATTGGCTTTGGCTCACCATTTTGAATTCCATGTGATGCAGAAATTACAGCTGAATATGGGGCTCGTCAAAAAAATGGGTGCCCCAAAATCTCATGCTTGAAGAAAAATATAAGTTTCCCTAATTTTCCAATGGCCATACATTGGGACATCTTTTTGTCTCAGAGTTCGTGGTGGATCCCACGATCTCAGGTTCGGCCATCAGCATGAACAACCTGCAGCGACCGGTTCCGGATGTTAGGCAGCCCACAACGGGAGTTTCATTGAGAATTGGGGAATTCACCCACCCAAATATGGGCATGTATATGGGGGTTTCCTAATATGGGGATCACACATATTCTTGTAAGATTTTGAAATGTAAACTACAGGGTGCATAGGTACCAGTGTGAAATGGTTCATTCCCATATCTGGATGTATATTAAGATCAATGTTTCGGAAAGTGTCGCATCTTTGGTTTACACCTGAACAGAAACTACAGTATATAAAAACATCAATGTTTGTTTTTTGAATGTAATTATCATACTTAATTTTTTAGAGAAGCTCAAGATGTCAAAATCCCGGGGAATTAGCAATGGATCCATGCAAATTTCATCAGCTCCACTTGCCTGTTGAGGGATAACCTCTCGATCGCTTCGGATTCGGTGCTCCATGGAGCGGGTCCGCGGCGTCACCAGAATTCATCGTCCACCGGTACAGATGGGAGGGTTCAAAGCCGATTCAGAAACTATCGGCGATTCAGAAACTGCGATTCAGAAACTACGATTCAGAAACTATTTCCACGATTCAGAAACTATTGCGATTCAGAAACTAACGCGCTTCAGAAACTACGATTCAGAAACTATCGCGATTCAGAAACTATCGCGATTCAGAAACTATCGCGATTCAGAAACTACCGCGATTCAGAAACTATCGCGATTCAGAAACTACGCCTCTGAAACTAACGCGATTCAGAAACTACGATTCAGAAACTATCACGATTCAGAAACTACGATTCAGAAACTTTAGCGATTCAGAAAATACGCTTCAGAAACGATCGCGATGCAGAAACTATCCCGATTCAGAAACTGTGGCGATTCAGAAACTAAGGCGATTCAGAAACTACAGAGCGCGATTCAGAAACTATCGCGATTCAGAAACTAAGGCGATTCAGAAACTATAGAGATTCAGAAACTACGATTCAGAAACTATCGCGATTCAGAAACTATCGCGATTCAGAAACTATGGCGATTCAGAAACTATGGCGATTCTGAAACTGCGATTCAGAAACTACAATTCAGAAACTATCGCGATTCAGAAACTATCGCGATTTAGAAACTATATCGCGACTATCAGGATTTTACACAAGGATCAGATGATATCAAAATTCCAACCCCCATGGAACTTCAAATTGACTTGGACTTTACACAAGGATCCGATGATATCACAATTCCCACCTCCATGGAACTTCACGTCTGACTTGGAATGCCCACAAGGATCAGATGATATCAAAAATCCCTCCCTCGTGGAACTTCACATTGATTTGGAGTGTCCACAAGGATGAGATGATATGAAAATTCCCACCCCGATGGAACTTCAAATTAAGTTGGAATGTCCACAAGGAAAAGATTATATCAAAAATCCCACCCCCGTGGAACTTCACATTGATTTGGACTGTCCACAAGGATCAGATGATATCAAAATTCCCACCCCCATGCCATGGAACTTCAAATTAATTTGGATTGTCCACAAGGAAAAGATGATATCAAAATTCCCACCCCCGTGGAACTTCACATTGACTTGGACTGTCTGCAAGGATCAGATGATATCCAAATTCCCACCCCCATGGAACTTCACATTGACTTGGACTGTCCACAAGGATCAGATGATATCAAAATTCCCACCCCATGGAACTTCAAATTGACTTAGACTTTCCACAAGGATCAGATGATATCAAAATTCTTAGTCCCGTGGAACTTCAAATTGACTTGGAATGTCCACAAGGAAAAGATGATATCAAAATGCCCACCCCCACATTGACTTGGAATGTCCACAAGGATAAGATGATTCCCACCCCCGTGGAACTTCACATTGACTTAGACTTTCCACAAGGATCAGATGATATCAAAATTCCCACCCCATGGAACTTCACATTGATTTGGAATATCCACAAGGATAAGATGATATCAAAATTCCGACCCCCGTGGAACTTCACAGTGATTTGCATTGTCCACAAGGATAAGATGATATCAAATTCCCACCCCCATGGAACTTCACATTGATTTGGACTGTCCACAAGGATCAGATGATATCAAAATTCCCACCCCCGTGGAACTTCACATCGATTTGCATTGTCCACAAGGATAAGATGCTATCAAAATTCCCACCCCCATGGAACTTCACATTGATTTGGACTGTCCACAAGGATCAGATGATATCAAAATTCCCACCCCCATGGAACTTCACATTGATTTGGAATATCCACAAGGATCAGATGATATCACAATTCCCACCCCCATGGAACTTCAAATTGACTTGGACTTTACACAAGGATCAGATCAGATGATATCAAAATTCCCACCCCCGTGGAACTTCACATTGATTTGCATTGTCCACAAGGATAAGATGATATCAAAATTCCCACCCCTGTGGAACTTCAAATTGACTTGGAATGTCCACAAGGAAAAGATGATATCACAATTCCAACCCCCATCGAACTTCAAATTGACTTGGACTTTACACAAGGATCAGATGATATCAAAATTCCTGCCCGATGGAACTTCACATTGGCTTGGAATGTCCACAAGGGTCCGATGATATCAACATTCCCACCCCCATGGAACTTCAAATTGACTTGGACTTTCCACGAGGATCAGATGATATCAAACTTCCCACCCCCATGGAACTTCAAATTGACTTGGACTTTACACAAGGATAAGATGATAGCAAAATTCCCACCCCCGTGGAACTTCACATTGACTTGGAATGTCCACAAGGAAAAGATGATCTCAAAATTCCCACCCCCACATTGACTTGGAATGTCCACAAGGATAAGATGATTCCCACCCCCGTGGAACTTCACATTGACTTGGACTGTCCACAAGGATAAGATGATATCAAAATTCCCACCCCCGTGGAACTTCACATTGACTTGGAATGTCCACAAGGAAAAGATGATCTCAAAATTCCCACCCCCGTGGAACTTCACAGTGATTTGCATTGTCCACAAGGATAAGATGATATCAAATTCCCACCCCCATGGAACTTCACATTGATTTGGACTGTCCACAAGGATCAGATGATATCAAAATTCCCACCCCCGTGGAACTTCACATTGATTTGCATTGTCCACAAGGATAAGATGATATCAAAATTCCCACCCCCATGGAACTTCACATTGATTTGGACTGTCCACAAGGATCAGATGATATCACAATTCCCACCCCCATGGAACTTCACATTGACTTGGAATGTCCACAAGGAAAAGATGATATAACAATTCCCACCCCGATGGAACTTCAAATTGACTTGGACTTTACACACGGATCAGATGATATCAAAATTCCCACCCCCGTGGAACTTCACATTGATTTGCATTGTCCACAAGGATAAGATGCTATCAAAATTCCTACCCCCATGGAACTTCACATTGATTTGGACTGTCCACAAGGATCAGATGATATCAAAATTCCCACCCCCATGGAACTTCACATTGATTTGGAATATCCACAAGGAAAAGATGATATCACAATTCCCACCCCCATCGAACTTCAAATTGAATTGGACTTTACACAAGGATCAGATGATATCAAACTTCCCACCCCAATGGAACTTCACATTGGCTTGGGATGTCCACAAGGGTCCGATGATATCAACATTCCCACCCCCATGGAACTTCAAATTGACTTGGACTTTCCACGAGGATCAGATGATATCAAAATTCCCACCCCCGTGGAACTTCAAATTGACTTGGAATGTCCACAAGGAAAAGATGATATCAAAAATCCCACCCCCGTGGAACTTCACATTGACTTGGAATGTCCACAAGGATCAGATGATATCCAAATTCCCACCCCCATGGAACTTCACATTGACTTGGAATGTCCACAAGTGTCCGATGATATCAACATTCCCACCTCCATGGAACTTCAAATTGACTTAGACTTTCCACAAGGATCAGATGATATCAAAATTCCCACCCCATGGAACTTCAAATTGACTTAGACTTTCCACAAGGATCAGATGATATCAAAATTCTTAGTCCCGTGGAACTTCAAATTGACTTGGAATGTCCACAAGGAAAAGATGATATCAAAATGCCCACCCCCGTGGAACTTCACATTGACTTGGAATGTCCACAAGGATCAGATGATATCAAAATTCCCACCCCCATGGAACTTCACATTGACTTGGACTGTCCACAAGGATGCGATGATCTCAAAATTCCCACCCCCACATTGACTTGGAATGTCAACAAGGATAAGATGATATCAAAATTCCCACCCCCGTGGAACTTCACAGTGATTTGCATTGTCCACAAGGATAAGATGATCTCAAAATTCCCACCCCCCATGGAACTTCAAATTGACTTCGGCTTTCCACAAGGATCAGATGATATCAAAATTCCCAACCCCGTGTAACTTCACATTGATTTGCATTGTCCACAAGGATAAGATGTGTTCGTTTCCGAATCTTCGCCTCCGAATCCGCGCTTTTAGTTTCCGAATCCGCGTGCTGTAGTTTCCGAATCTCTGTGTCCGAATCTGCGTTAGTGTTCGTTTCCGAATCCGCGGTTTTTAGTTTCCGACTCCGCGCTTGGGGTTTCCGAATCCTAGTTTCCGAATCCGCGGTTTTAGTTTCCGAATCACAATTTCCGAATCCGCGTCTGCGTCAGTTTCCGAATCTGCGGTTTTAGTTTCCGAATCCACGGTTTTAGTTTCCGAATCCACGGTTTTTGTTTCCGAATCTGCGCTTTTAGTTTCCGAATCACAGTTTCCGAATCCCCGTCCTCCATAGTTTCCGAATCCTCTTTTTTTTGTTTCCGAATCTTAGTTTCCGAATCCGTGTCTGTTAGTTTCCGAATCCTAGTTTCCGAATCCGCGGTGTTAGTTTCCGAGTCTTAGTTTCCAAATCCGCGTGCCCGTTAGTTTCCGAATCCGCGGTTCTAGTTTCCGAATCCGTGCGTGACCCAGATGGGAGGGTTTTATGGAGCCATGGACCAATGGACAGCAGAAATGGCTATTTCTTGAGAAAATGGTGAGCAATCATAGTAAACAACCAAGATTTTGTGGGTACCCTTTCAAGCCCAACATGGGGGAGTTAGGCATCGTTTGGGGATTTGTTTTCAAGGGATTAGTTGGTGGTTTCGATTTGATTTGCCGAAAGAGGACGTGATTCCCTGAATAACATTGCGTTTGGGGTGGGTTGACACCACCATCATAGAACACAGCATGGGGACTAGTTGGGAGCCTCTCGAACCCACAGATTGGCGGGTCTTTTGGTGTGTGAACCATCGACTTCTTGGGGCAGCTTGAACACACTTAGGCGCAGCCTGTTGGTTAAAAAGAAGCGGAAATGTCCCTCAGACTTGAGGAATTGACTTTGGTTCAAAAGTACATAGCCCCTAAGTTGGATGATCCCAATTCAAACGGTGCATTTGGTGGGGCTTTTCTTCTTGCATCCGCACATTTTTCCTGAAAACGATCCCTGGGGCCCGGCAACGCTGCCGGGCTGCCAGGTCCAAGTCCTTTGAAGATCAGATGCCACGAATCCCGTGGAAGACCATTTGGTTCATGTACCTTGCAATGAAGTGATCCAAGTGGGAATGGTTGGGGACCCGAAAATGGAGGCACTCGAGGTGCTCTACATGACCAATATTACAATTTTTCAGGCCATATTTTGTGGAGATATTCCCTGAAATCTAGGCCTTACATGGGCCTTGTATATGGGAGTTACCTCCAATTTAGCTACCTGAAACGGCCATTCGGCTTCTCCGATTTCTTTTGCTTGAACCCCCAAAATGGGTTGAAAAAATCACTATCTCCATTCAATTTTGAACCCAAGTCTGAAGCAAATCCCAGCCCAGTATCTCTACCATGGCCATTCAGTGGGTTGCCAACTCGCCAGAGCGTGCGCGCCAAGGTTGGCCTTCAATATGTGATCTTTTGCCTGAACTATTTGGCAATGTCTCAAGACGTTGACGGAGTGGAGAAGTGCCTGGACAACCACCAGAAAAATGAGGATTCAACCAATAAACATTTGGATTTACTGCAAGACCTTTAAAACGATTCAAAACAATTGGATTGAGCCTGCAAAAGAGGAAATTAACCGTAACCATCAAAAGATTCGATTGTATAAACACATTAAACTTGGGATTTGAAGAATAAGAACTGTGAATCAATCAATGAAGATTGGGATTTTACTGGTTATAAGTTATACCATATACATTCTGGCAATCCAACCTGGCTGTTGGAAAGTCTTTGATGTACAGTTTCTGTAAAACACGGGTACTTTGCATCGCCTTTTTGAAACGGGGTGGTTTAAATTGTCCATGCTCATCCCGATTGACCAATTCCTTTAGGATTTACCAACGCCGCAGCTCGCCCAGTTGCCCAGTTCCCATCACATCACAGGTGAGAAATGCCATCCCACCCCCTGGATATTAAACACCCCCCTGGTATGGTCCCTCTCCTTTCGCGAAAATCAGGTGCTCGGTACTTTACTGGATTGCGCTGCTGGGCCTGTATCCAGTGGTTGCCCTCTCCCTCCTGCTGGCCATCAGGCAGGATCCAAGTTTTCTGCAACTGCATACCGTAGACCTACTCTGTGGGGATGGTTTATACATGTTTATACCTCCCATAAATGGGTCGAGATAGATTACTTATTGGGTTTACCTCATCACTCAACGACGTATCCCATATGGGTTTGACTAAAAAAATCGTGGTTGATCATCATTTTTCCTATAAACACTGCCATTTTGAACAGGCAGACCGCTATTTTCGGACGCACCAACATCTTGCCTGTCATATCCCATGGTTCTTGGCATTTCTGTGCTAAACTTCAGTAATTTATGACGATGCCATCGCTTTTCCAGGGGCGCTGCTCAATTTTTTCACCTTGTTCATGGATTATATGTATATATACACACAATATGTATTATATATATAATATTATATATATATGGATTTTGTTTTGTCCACCTCCCATTTCCCCATATTTGGAATGGTTTTTTCATTTTTTTTCTGACCCTCACAGAGACCATCTGACTGTGATCATGGCTCCACGCTTGGAGCATCCCAGTAGGGCATATTTTTTCTGATATATCCCAGTTGTACATGGATGTTCTTCGCCAGTTAAATTCGCGCTTTGATCTTCGGAGATCATGAACACTATTTGTAGATGATTTTCGCATTCAAACATTAATTTTTAGATGATTTCCCAATATGTTCCCATGATTTTCCCATTAAAACCTCCATTTGGTGCCGGAAAATCTCCGTTGCGTGTTGCAGGTTTATGCGTGAGCTGGCAGAGTGGCATGCCTCCCGCCACGACCCACCGGTACAAGGGGACCCTGTCCTTGGAAGGTCAGGGGAAATCATCACGTTCCACTGGTGTTTAGGACAATGGCTGGGTGTAGGTTGATGCTCCAATCTACTTTTTGAGAAACTACTACATTGCTACTCACCGGTAGAAAGTTTATGAAGAGCTTGGTCTGTGCACATGGGCATTTCCCGCGCGCACACTTTTGTCTTTGTGTGTATAAGTAGTGGATTTGCTGTAGACAAGACCTTGTTGAATCTTCAGCATGACAGTACGTTACAACTTACAGGCCTTGGCATTTGATGTCGAACAGCAGGGTCTCAACGATCATTTTGCTACGTGGCAAATTTGAGACGTGTAGTGGTGAAGTCTTTAGTTTTGAACTGTTGTGTCTTGTGGCATCTTGTGGCATTCAAGATTTTGAACGTTTCAGGCTGCAACCAATGAACAGAAGTCCATATACAGACCTATCCAAAGTGCCTGTGGCCCTTTCTGTGAGTATCCCTAAAATGAAGTGATTAGCTTCAAGTCCTTAAACCCCTACGCCCACAATGATCAGCTTCTCTGAAAATGGGAGATTGCCATTTACACATCGGGAATATGATGATCAACATGATCAACCCCAGGATATTGGGGTTTTCCATGGTTTTCCTTCAAACTTTCAGGTACCAAACCCACATCACTCCCTGGGCTCAGCTGGGAGGATCACCCCCTGCCCAGGGCTGGATTGGTTGTGGTGCCATTTCTGGCCATGGCCGTTGGATTGCTGGCAGGGCTCCTAGGTCTTGGTGGAGGCGCAGCCAAAGCCCCAGCAGTCGGGCAGGATCCAAAAACCACAACTCTTTTGAGGTGAACAAAAGGGGTATGATTTGAATCAGGGGCACAATTTCCAACTCTAAATGATCTATATAAATGATCTAAATGGAATCACTGGTTTTACCCATGACTATCCATGAACTCTCCATCCTTGCCAGGGGAATTCATGGTGCCTTTGTTGCTTGAGCAGCTTGGCTAAAAGAATGGTCAACATGAGAGTCACATGCACTGCAAAGCCGGACTCTGCAAAGATGGGGACCGCAATCGTGCACCCAGAAACAGTTTGGGAATGGCAAAAGCTTGCTGAATCCACCTGGACGTTGCTTGAATTGATTTGACTGAGAAATTTCGGATCATTTTGGCATACGCAAAACTTGCCGGAAGTTGGGTTTGTCCCAAAATGAAGGATGGCCCAATTTTACAGCAATTTTCATGGGGGCCACAGGGTCCCAAAAATGCAACTGATCGAATCCTGAGGCTCGGCGTACAGGCGCGAGTCGCAGCGGCCACCTCTGGTTTTCTGATTTTCTTCAACACATCTTCCAATGCTGCTCGATTTCTCAGCAGTGCCAAAGGTTCCAAAAAGGATCAAACAGTTTTCCGAAAAACTGTCCGAACAAACAGGTACTACTCGTCACGAACTTGCTTTCTGAACTCTCGACCTTATCTCAACTCATTTTCAGATTGGTTTTGACATGTCAGCAGGGACTCTGAGGGAAGGAAAATACCTTTGGCAATTGGATTGGCTGGGAACTGAGTGTTGGTTATATAAATCAAAGACTTATCTGCCGAAGGATTCTGTTGACTTTTCCATACTTTTCCCATTTTATTCAGCCATCACGGGCAGCACTATATTACAACTGTTCTTACATGATCGTACACGTGCTTACCCAGTGATATCGGATTGATCAATGGTACTGACATTTGTGAGGTCGCCTGTCCCAGAATTGATACGAGGTTGTTCACTATTTGGTGGCTGGCACGATCGAGCCATTCATGGGCTACGGCATTGCCTGCTTCTTCATGGCTGGGCAGGAACTACCTTCATGGCGTGTTTGGGCAGGAACTACCTGGTCAAAGGTCAAAAACATGAAGCTTAAGAATCTCAAGACCTGTTGCGTCCTGTACAAGTACACTGGTGGACCATTACATACAGATGCTTGACTGGTTGAAGCAGTGGTTGCCGAAGGATTATGATTATTGTATGTATTAAATTAATTTAGACTTATTGTTGGTCAATGTAACCCCATCATCAGGCTTGCTCCAACCAATTTCTAGGTGACTCCCATGGGTCCCTGGTGTTGAGCTAAACTGAGGATGACGGGCTCCTTCTGCGGCCTGCTGGCGGGAAACACGTGAGGGCCTTAGAGCCACCTTGGTTTCTAGTAAATTCAGTCGATCCATGATCTACGGCTTGGAGTTTTTTTTTCCATCTTTACTTGGGATGACTTCCTTCCAAGTTGGTGGTTTTCCACTTTATTTGCAGAATTACACAGGTGGGATCAACCGGAGGGTACCCCGTCACGCTGAAAGCGGGCCTGATCACAGCTGAAAGCAGCAACGCAGCCAGAAAAAGAATCTCCTTTACTGCATGGCATGGACTACCCGTTCTCTTCACCTTTGCGAATGCTTGTTTTATCTTGGCAACCATGAACCCCAGAACTGCTTGAAGGGAACATCTCCACCCTCATATTTGGGGAAAGATGGAATTACTTTACTTCGTGTGATCCCCACGATGACATTTATACATTTTCTTACTGGCAAATCTTCTGGCATTCTATCTGACATATCTTCTGACATTCTATTTGGCATATCTTCTGGCATTCTATCTGGCATATCTTCTGGCATATATTCTGACATATCTTCTGGCATTCTATCTGGCATATCTATCTGGCACATCTTCTGGCATATTTTCTGGCATTCTATCTGGCAAATCTTCTGGCGTTCTATCTGGCATATCTTCTGGCATATTATCTGGCATTCTATCTGGCATATCTTCTGGCATTCTATCTGACATATCTTCTGGCATTCTATCTGGCATTCTATCTGGCATATCTTCTGGCATATATTCTAACATATCTTCTGGCATTCTATCTGGCATTCTATCTGGCATATCTTCTGGCATATATTCTGACATATCTTCTGGCATTCTATCTGGCATATCTTCTGGCTTCTGGCATTCTATCTGGCAAATCTTCTGGCATTCTATCTGGCATATCTTCTGGCTATCTGGCATATCTTCTGGCATTCTATCTGACATATCTTCTGGCATTCTATCTGGACATATCTTCTGGCATTCTATCTGGCATATCTTCTGGCATATCTTCTGGCATTCTATCTATCTTCTGGCATTCTATCTGGCATATCTTCTGACATTCTATCTGACATCTTTTCTTTCGTTGAGGTCCGGCAGTGCCCCTGCGATCTGGAAGTCGCGGTTGAGGTCCGGCAGTGCCCACTGCGATCTGGAAGTCGCGGTTGAGGTCCGGCAGTGCCCACTGCGATCTGGAAGTCGCGGTTGAGGTCCGGCAGTGCCCACTGCGATCTGGAAGTCGCGGTTGAGGTCCGGCAGTGCCCACTGCGACCTGGAAGTCCTGGTTGAGGTCCGGCAGTGCCCACTGGGATCTGGAGCTCGCGGTGGAGGTCCGGCAGTGCCCACTGGGATCTGGAGCTCGCAGTGGAGGTCCGGCAGTGCCCACTGGGATCTGGAGCTCGCGGTGGAGGTCCGGCTGTGCCCACTGGGATCTGGACTGCGAGGAGGAGGCGGAGGAGGCGGAGGAGGCGGAGGTGGAGGCGGAGGTGGAGGCGGAGGAGGCGGAGGCGGGAGGAGGCGGAGGAGGCGGAGAACAGCTCTGATAAAATCTAACAACCCTCACCTGGCAGGTGGGGAAAAACAGCAAGTCAATTTTTTCCCCAAACCCAACCATGGAGCGAAATCTGCCACACCGGAAACGCCGTGCAATCAGGCAGTACGTCCGGAACCACAGCTACATTATCATTTTCTTAGTGGCGTTCGCGCGGCTTGGCGAATGGTAAACACGGAAGCTATGTTGTGTTGGTCGATGGAGAATGCATGGCTATACGCTATACTCTCCTGATGGTAATCAAACATGGCAATGGGAAATTCCAATTCTTGGGTGGAAAAAAGATGGTGATTTTACATTGTTGTTACCAGGGTACACAGGGCTGTGAAGCCTTGATGTCAAGCGGCTGGTGCTTGCTAAACCACCAGTGTTTGGGGGTGTAGAATCGATGTCTCAAGAATCCCAAGTTTTCCATCAGAATTCTCCTGAGGCTTCTCTCAAATGGATTCAAATCGGTAAAAACATATATGAAACAACTTGAGTTGGCACATCCAACAAAGAAAACACACGCATGTTTTTCCCCATATTTTCCACCCTTTTCCCCACGCGTGTTCCTTACAAATCTCAATGGGATTGGGTTTAGGGGAACAAACATCAGGAACCAGACTCTCCCCCAAATTCACGTTGACCCTGAAAAAGGTCAATTTTTAATGGAAAGTAGTTTTCCAAATCCCGATCAATGGCAGGGTCTATGCTAATTTTGGGGAGGGTCAGTATATCCGAGTTGAATCATCAGAAAACCATATAAAATCATTAAAATCCCATAAAATCACCAGAGAAATAATAATCATTATGTATATATATATATATATATTACCATCCAATCAAGTGATTTCCTGTGAATTTTCATCCAAGGCTATTGGCATCCGCTGCATTGCTGCTTTTCCGTGGCTTCTCTGAAATCAACTGGACCTTTGGAGGCTGCGCTGAGGGGTTTCGCCTGGGTTTTTGCGGTGTACAAACCCACCAATTTGTGGGAACATCAGGTTTTTTTTACCGGTACATACCAGCAACGATAGGAGATTTCGGTGTGCAATGGCGGATTTAGCCCTAAACTGCCACTACGGAGGTGGCGATGATTATGATGATTAAGCAGTGGATTCTTGGGGGGCCCTATTTCAGGCAAAGCCATTTTGGAAATTCAGATAACGCAACTTAGCTTCACATTTATTCAATACACCCAAGAACTGGGCTTGAAGAGCTTCGCTCATCTGAGTTTGACTGACCTGTGCCCTGGGAGGTTTCTGCTGAGAGCACCATTTGTGGGTCATCAAGTTTCCACCGGGGAGCTCTCAAAATGCCCCGAAGATGGAAGTCTTTTAGCATGGGCATCCAGAGTTGGATGACACACCTAGCACCATGGATGTCCGTTTTTCCGTTTTCCACTGGATCATTGTTCAAATTTTGGAGCTCCAGCAGTTTTCACCAGCAACAGTTTTGGCAAATGATGAGATTTGGATGGTATGCCAGTCAGCGGCTCCCCTACTTTTGCCCGAAGGACATCATCGCTTGAAAGCAATTAACGAGAAATGCAGGAGCTTTAGGTGGCAAAGCCTATCCTTGATATTCGTTGGTGTGAATATAGGGGGTCTCCAAAATCTCACAAAACTGGTGTTTGACAGGCGCGTGAAATGTTGGTGTATACATATTATAGAAATGTTGGTGTATAGTGTATACATACTATACATATATATATATACATACATACATACATAGATAGATAGAGATATATATATATATACACATAATTTCCTATTATAAGAAAAACACATCCATACGCATGTCCAAGGAAGTAGACATAAAATCACAAGTCTCACTCTCTTACTTATGGATGTCACACTGAAAATTCCTAAATTCAGATGCCACATCTCCTCCCGCATCCTCCCGCGAGTGGAAACTTGATTCACATACAAACGTTGTTACTCCTCAGTGGAGAGGGCGTTTGACAATTCACATACAAACATTGTTTCTCCTCAGTGGAGACGGCGTTTGACAGCTTGCACAGTAGCACGGCCATTTTTCTATTTTAAGAGAGTTGAACGAATCAAAGTTGACTTAAGGTAAATCCTCACAAAGTGAGTAGGGAAGAGCTCCCTCTGAAGGCCGCAAATCGTCGACGGAAAACCATTGGTGGACACCGGCAGACACAGACTGACACCATGCCACTGTGATGAGCAGCCTAGCAGTAGAGTGTAGAGTGTAGGAGAAAGATGCAGTAAAACAAGAAGTTGGTTTCGGTACCAGCTTGGTGCTGCAATCTAGGACATTAATGAATCTTTATGAAACAATTGGTACAAGAATACTGAATTGAACCGAGATGATTCTGAAGGATTTGGTTCCAAGAATTGCCTGTTGTTTCTGCACCCCCCTACTATGCTGTTGGACTCTTTTGGACGTTCCATTCGTGATTTACACAGAAGTCAGCATGTGGAGTTATTATCACCAGCCAACTTCTTTAGCTAATCAACATGTGGAAGTTGTTTTGAAAAGACTACCCACCAAATGTGGACTATCCACCACTGTCCCAACAGCTTTTCAACCCATGTTTTGAATGTTTGAACAGCTATCCACCAAAGGTTGGGATCATCCGGTATCATTCAACCCCAAAAGGTACAAAAATTCTTCCCAGGCATCGAGAGGACATCAAGACTTGCTCCAGCGCGAGGCCAGGCTTTGCAATGGAACTATCCCTCTTCAGGTATACATAAGAGCCTTCAAACCCTGCCGTTTGCATCCTGAAAATGAGCAGAATGCACTTTAACACACTAGGTTGAGTTGTTCACCAGTTGGGGATTTCAACAAAAACTGGGGACTCAAACATATTGATTTCCCCATCTTGGATGATTCAACCATTCGAAACCTTGGGATTAGCCTCCCCCAGGCTTTGATCATCGCCGCCCGTGAGCATGACCTTGAGGCACCAGGGTGATGCCAGGGTGATGCCCCTCGTGATACCAGTTCCGATTTCTTTGAGGTTTAAATTAACCCATATGAGGCAATGGACATAGCTCTCTCTCTCTCTCTTTATGTGTAGACTTTGTATATATATATTTATGTATCTCTCTCTCTCTCTATATATATGTATATATATATATGTATATATATGTATATATATATAATATAATCTAATATCATTATTATTATTCTTCTTCTTATTATTATTGTTATTTTAATATATGTCTAACACACACACACATATATATATATATATCTGGATAAACGAGAAGCACCTCACTGTGACGTCACTGGAATGATGGTTAGTAGGGGTAGCTATCCCAAAACTGGCTCGTCCCAGGCTGATGAATTCATCCATCCATCCATCCAGACAGACAGACAGACAGATGTCATACGGTCAGAACGCATGTGATCCAGGGGTCCTGGTACCTGCTTTAAAGGTGAAGGATAGCGGGATGACAATCACATTTTTGACGTGGTCTTGACCACGGCAGCCAACGTTGGCTGGTCACTTTCAGTAGTCTCGCTCGGAGCCAATTGGGGATTCATTAGGTAACCAGTTACCCTCTGGTAATTTAACATAGCGATTGAAAATGGCCCATTGATAGTTGATTTACTATTAAAGATGGTGATTTTCCATAGCTATGTTAGTTTACCAGAGGGTAATGTGACTGGTGATATTGTAGCACCCCTCAGTCCAGCTGCCTCTGCAGGGATGCCTCAGGGAGTGGACGCACTTTCTACGGCCGGAGCGCCATGGTTTGGGGCTGGAAGAATGGTTGGGAGGTGTCAAGGAGTCATCACTGGAATAGGTTTGATTTGACTTGACTTGACTTGACCTATACCTATCTACATCTTTTGAGAAGCATTCATGCTGACTAACAAGTGCTGGTGAAACTGTTTGGGATTGGAGGGTGGGTCCAGCTCCAGCCTGTGCCAATTTCGGCTCAACGTGGACCCTTGGTTAGAATTGAGGGAAGCCTTTTGAGACACAGGTCCTAGAGAGCAAGGTCAGCGGCAGAGCACTGGTGTCAAAGAAAGAGTTCTAAAGATGAACTCACTCATCGATCAGCAAGATGAGAGCGAGCTCTTGCCGCCACCGGCAACAGAGGTGGACAAATGGTACCAGAATTACATAGTGGCAATGGGTGCGCAGCCTGACGAGACAGAGGAGCCGACGTCCGCCCAATTGGCTGCTTTACATAAAAGTAAAGAGTATATGTAGAGAACAGGTCACCATACTGCGACTTCTCGGTGTGGGTCCCCTTTGAAAGAAGGATGAGCCGGGTGCAGCAGTGCCGGGTGTGCACGCCCCTGGGGAATGGGTCTTTTCTCCAGAAAGACCTGCCTGGACCCAGCACCCTGATGGCTTGGAAGGCATCTTGGCAGGTCTTTCGAGCTGCCTGCATCATGCTGAACATTTGTTCAATTGCAAGCCTCGAGGCATATGCCCGCCAGGTGGAGAAATTGCATGTGCAATGGCCGAGATGTTGGGGTCTGATCTACATGGCAGACGATGGAGCCAGAGCTGAACGACTGGAAAAGGTGAGACGAAAGCTGACAATCGAGGCAGCTCAGAATCGTCAAGTGCCGAGGGAGTGGGACCCAATGAAACCTTGGTCCTGCGTGTTCACGCAACTTGCAACCGACATCGAGTACTGGACAGATCGAGTACACCATCCTGCAGCGTCCTGGACGGCGGCAGGGGGCCGTGGAGCCTCGACGGTCGCCACAGAGGCAGCGGTGCTAGAGGTGATCCAGGGCGGGTCAAAAGCCATGGAGCAAGAGAGCAAGCATGGCAACAACGCTGGGGACGGAAGACGCACCCAAGCGAACAGGGACAGACGTCAAGCGAAGAAGAGGCGCTTAAGGCAGCAGATAGGGAGGAGCTTGCGAGACACAGATCCTCAACAACCAGAAGCTCCAAAGGATCAGGCCGGAGCAAGGGCAAAGGCAAAGGCAAGAGCAAAGATCAGTCAGGCCAAGAACTTTGCTTTTCCTGGTCATCTGGCCGTGGACCATGTGCGGAAGTGGCCCCTGGAGGGGAGTGCAAGTCCGCAGTGAAGAGAATTCACAAGTGCAAGCTGTGCCTATCCCCTGCACACAGGGATAGCGAGTGCAAAGCATAATGCAAGAAGAGGCAAAGTTCATGGAGGGTATCACCAAGTTTAAAGATGCAGCAGGCCAAGCCGTTTGTCCGCATTCTGCAGCTGAGGGTGGCGTTGGAACCAGCGACATCACGGCACAATTCTTCAACTGCAGGCGCGTAGCATTGCAAAACGGGCGAGTTGTGGCTGCAGCAGTCCGGAACTTTGAGAGCCAGATTTGAAAGTTTTGTTTTTGATTGAAAGTTTTGAAATCGTTTTTCATTTGACTGTGCATGACAGTTTTCATGACAAAGGTGTCTTGCAACTTCGAACTGCGTTTTGCATGCTTGATTTCAGTTGCTTGCATTTGTCAACTTGGTTTCATAGAGTTTGTTGAAATCATAATCTTGGACTCCAGTGACATGTTTACAGCGTGTTGCAGGGGATCGCACAGGTGACAGGGTCAAACAACATTACGTGTTTCACAGCTTGATTTGCCGCTGCTGCTTGGCTTCAGATGGCCTTCCCCGTCTGCCCTCGCAGATGGAATCAGGGAGGCCTGGAAGAAGGAAGCGTCCCCTGACTTTGAAGGAGACGACCATCAGGAGGACGAGCCGGCGGTGGCATTGCCAGCAAGGCCTAGAAACAAAGGGCCTGCGGCTGGACACAAACCTCAACCTGCTGAACGAGTGGGGGAAGGAGGAGTAGAGTCTTCGGGTGACAAAGCTCCACATGGTGAACGAGCCGAGGCGGGGGCAGAGGATGAAAAGGAGGGACAACCGTGGGTCCCAGAGAGGGTCAAGAAAGCCCTTGCCAAGAGCGGCACGTTCGACGAGTTCCGCAAGAACAGACCATTCAGGTACCTCCACATGTTCTCTGGCGAGACGGACCAGTTGGGCATCTCCATAAGAGCTGAAGCCTCCAAAGCCAGGCTGGAGGTGTACCTGGAGTCATTGGACAGAAAGAAAGACGCAGAGCTGGATTTGACCAGCCCGGCACTATATGATGAAATCGAGAAATCGGTGCTGGAGGGCGAGTGGGATGGATATCACAGTGGGTTCCCATGTGCATCCTTCTCAAGGGTGCGCTGGAGGGACTCGCCAGGTGGGAAGTTGCCTGTGAGGAGCGCTGACCACATCTATGGGCTCCCAGGCAACACCCCCAGCCAGCAGAGAGAAGCTGATGAAGGAACATTGATGGCCACCAGGTCACGAGAAGCAGGTGAAGACATTCAGGCGCTGAGCCGTGCCAGAAGTGTCTGCCTTCTGCTTTATGATGAGTGCAAGGCGAGAAGAAGTGCCTTCCGGGAAACGTTGATGTACTTCTTCCAGGGTGAGGACTTTGACGAAGCCTTTGGACACGTATCTGTCCACTTCAATCGTGGCCTCTTCCTTCTGAGACTCTACCGACTCATAGTTTTTCAGCGTAGCGAGCTCTCCCATGTCCATTTTGGTGCTCAGGGGCTCGTCTGCCACGCGGGGAAAGATGTCTGAGTAGGGGATGTCCATGTCCATGCCCAGCGGCGCTCCTTCTCTGGCCCATTGGCCTATGCATTGCTCCGGATCGCGCGCACTAGTGCGCCATGCGTTCCACAAGTCCGCATTTAGGGGGGAACCTGAACTCCAAGGCCTCTTTGAGCGTCACCCCATCAGTGGGCTCCATTTCCAAGAGGTCCCCAAGTCTTTCAGTCCACTTCTTCACGAGCTTCTCGTCGATCTTTGCCTCCTTCGACCCGTAAGCTTCCGCTGCTTCTAGCACTCCAGGATGTTCTGAGGCGAAGTTCAACCAAGCCGCATGGATCTGTTCTCCGACCCGTCTGACTTGTGCCAATCTCGACACTGACACTTCAGGGTTTCTCATGCCTCCTATAGCGAAGCTGTTTTCCTCACCTGCTTTTTCGAAGGGCCAGCCGACGATGAGGGGATGTGCTCCTTGTGCACCCTCCTCATATATTCTTTTTGTCCTCTTCTCTTCATTATCTAACCACTTGACTTGGAGCTCGTTGATCCGATTCGACTTTTGGCTCAGCTGGAATCTGAGCCACTCCAAGTTCAGCACCCTCCTCCGCGTCTCCACGATCTTTACCGCTAAGGCGTCTGTAAGCTCTTGAGGGTATGCTCCAGCCGCCTCCGTGTTGGCCTTGCCCACCAGCTGGACGTGCTGAACCCAAGGTTGGCACTTGCAGACCTTCGCAAAGGATGTCAGGCCTTCCAACTTGCCTGACCACCTGGCAGGTTTGTACCATCTCTTCTTGATGGATCCATGAAGAGACGTATCGTGATCGACATGAAGAGGTCGCAGGGCAATGAGCGGGCGAGGATATAAGAGAGGATCCTGCTTCCGAGGGCCATGGACATAGTGACGAGCCTCAGAGTTATGAGAGCACGAGAACAGAGGTCAGCATTGAAGGGCTCCAGGGCGTACAAAGAATCTGAGGTAGAATTCATACTGCTGGACCTACAAGATGCTTTCTGCCACTGTGGTGTCCACACAACGGAGCTGAAGCACTGCATCAGCCCAGGCTTAGAGAGCGGCACCGCTCTACTGTGTGTGGCCATGCTCTTCGGCTTCAAGGGAGTACCATTGGTAATGGGACGTCTAAGCGCTGATGTGGGGAGACTACTGCAGTCCCTGTTCCATCCAGCAGCAGGTCAAGTGCAGGTATACATTGACGTGGCGTTCATGCTCAGAGGCCCTTTGGAGACAAGGAACCTGCAGCTGGCCAAAGTCCTATATGTACTTGCAGCTTTCGAAGTCCAAGTGGCCATGGGGAAAGGAGAAAGGGGGCGCAGAGTCCAATGGATCGGAACTACTTTCGAGATACACACGCACGAGGTGGTCATTGGGACGCCCCAGACGATGGTTCAGGAAGTAAAAGAAACCCTGGCCAACTGGACGGGAAAGGGAATGGTGCCCACTAGAGAGCTGCGAGCATTCGGCAAGTTGTCATGGATCGCTGGCATTGTGCCCAGGCTGAGGTGGACGGTCACGGCACTGTATGCGGTGCTCACCAAAGTGCTACAAGAAGAAGATCAAGAAGAAGAAAGGGCAAAGAAGAGAGCTAAAGATCAGAGGCCGAAAGTAGGCCTAGTAGCAGTGAAAAGGATGGGCACCGCACTGCCGTGGCTGGTTGCAGCCTTCGAGACACCGGAGCACATGTTGATCAGGCAAGAACCGTTGGAAGAGAGAGAGCCAGTATGGGGCGTTGTCACGGACCACTCAACTACGTGGCATCGGAGCTGGCACTGCTGTTGGAAAGGGCACGCATCACAAAGCTGACCCCACAGCACATACCAGGCAAGCTTAACGTCGAGGCAGACTGGCTGTCTCGCGTAGGCGACAGAGGACCCATGCCACCATCTCTGGCCGAGGTGAAGCTCAGCCGAACTACGGCGTTGTCAGAGAGATGCCTGGCAATGAAACCACCAGGCACGCCGGGCAGCCACTGGGTGCAAAGTTTACCACACCCAAACGGGGTGTACGACTGCCTCTGACCATTCTCAGCCGGCAAAAGTAGGCTGCTATAGAATGGCGTTTCAAGGGGAAGTGAGAATCAGAAGTTTCAAGCAGAGAAATTTTCAGTTTCATGACATGACTTTAATCCAACATGATTGCATGTCTTTATCATGTCACACACCCGCAGCCTCTTGCCCAGCATGGAGACAGCTGTCACACTACGACAGCCTAGCCCACCTGCGCCTCATCGGAAACCGGGCGCATGGATCTTCCTCCTGCTCGTCTTCATGGCCGGCATGTTATTTCAAGCATGTGTGCCGCGGCTCTGCCAGTTAAGCATGAGAATTGGCAGCGCGTTACTGAAACCGATCGTAGCATGTTGGCGTTGTTTTGAGGCCCGGAAGGAGCACAGACAAGAGGGAAAGGAACCGGAGACAAAGGAACTCGGAGGCATCAACCCCAAGTGGAAGTCCAGGGCATGGGACGACCGAAACCAATGTAGAAGCCCTAGTTCATCCTAGGTCATTTCAGGGAAATTGTGTGGAAATGGGTAAAGATCCAGCTGGTGAACGGTCCGTTCTCCTTGGTTCGTCGGGTCCTCCATTCCTCCGTCGCAGGATGCTTTTTCAAGGGGTAAGACATGACTATCAAATATGGCAAATCCAACAAAGGTGTAGACACCACTCATTTCTGGTGAATTTGGGGATGGTCTATTGATGTCTATTGTGTATTGTGTAAAAACCACATTCATCACACTCACCAATTGGTAACCTAGAGAGATCATAGCAGTTTGAGGACATCTCGAAGTGCTCTGCAGCTTTACAGCTACCCCTTGTTTTTGTGGCAGGTTGAGTGGCAGCTGCTGTTTCCACTCGGCCGAAAAGACCGGAAAGACCGTCAACAGATGTTGGACCATCTGGGGGGATGAGCATCCATATGGGGTATGAAGATGGGGGTATCCCCAAATCCACAGCGAAACAACCATGTTGAGTATTGAAACAATTGAAACAACCATGTTTTTTTTGGGGAATCCCCCAATTTAAGAAATAGTCATTTAAGCGTCTTCAAGCATCACCCAATCATGGAAATGCATGGGCAGCAGCCTCTTCCCCGCGGTCGAGATCATGACAACATCTAGAGCCATATCAATGGTCGATTTAGATTGTAATGATTAGTGATGACTAATGTAGTAAACCCAAGAATGAACCTCCAATTTTCACGGCTTCACACCAGCCGTTGTCATCTCTGTGCTCGTTGCCTTACCTCAGCCACTTCCCAGGTATTTCAGCTGGCCCAACGGATGGACATGGATCACCAGATCTTGAGATTCGGGTATGGCTGAAGAATGCTCAAGATTCAAGATACCCCTATGGTACCTCCATATTCTCTTGGTGAATCACTCTTAGCCACACACTATATATACACAATTATATACACACATGTATGTATGTTCTTTTTCTGTTTGTTGTTATTGTGCCAGTCTATTTCTCATTTTCCATTCTCGAGGGGATTATGACCATCACTATCATTATAATTATCATTAGTACTAGAATCATCCGTATCATTAGCATCATAAGTATCATTATCATCACTACTATCGTTATCAGTTTCTTTTATATTTTTATGTAATCAAACTATCATTATCATTGTTGCTATTGTATGCTATTGTTGCTATCTTTGAAAAAATATGTTTTTATCACGTTTATATAATGTTGTAAACCCAGCAATAAACTATCCCCAATCTTCCAAAAATGGCTGGTAAATATCATTTTCAAGTGGTAGTGACATTAATTATTGGGTTTACAATATTGAGTTAATGCTGGTAAATAAACCCAATACTATCCCATTAATTATTGATTTGACCACATCCCATTTCTCTATCTGAAACCGTCGCCCGCATTGGATCCGTATGGACGCCCTGCGGGCTGCAGCGGAGCTGGAAGCTGCTGGGAAGGTGCCTCGGGAGGGTGCCGACAAACCCGAGATTTCTTTTTGGAGGACTTGGGATTCGTTTTTGTTTTTTTGGCATAGATCGATAGATTGATGGATGGATGGATGTATGGATGGATAGATAGAGAGAGAGATAGACAGATAGACAGATAGACAGATAGACAGATAGGCAGATAGACAGATAGACAGATAGACAGATAGACAGATAGGTACACTTGGAAGGGAACCATTGGAACCACCAGTGTTTTTTGGATATTTTTTGGCTGACCTGGCACAACACATTGTGAACCATTCAATATGATTTGCGGTCTATGATTTTGAGCCATGGACCATATGGTGGAATGGGGATAGATGGCATCCCATTCTTGGGTGGCATTGCTTTGTTATCTGATTGGGACGCAGATTGGCACCATGAATTTTTCGGAGGCCAGGGATCATCTGCGCGCTTTGTTGCGCTTCAGGAGCAACGAGAAGCACTTCCCTATTTCCGCTCTGCTTTGGCGCTCCTCGAGCCCTTGGAGGTGGACTCGAGATTTTTCGGAGCTCGGGATTTTTCGGAGATTAAAACAACTGGCTGGAAACAACACTGCGCACAAGTTTCATCAATATATTCGATTCCAACAATATATAATAATATATAACAATATATAATAATATATAGTAATATAAAATAATATATAATAATATATAATAGTATATAATAATATATAATAATATATAATAATATATAATAATATATAATAATATAAAATAATATATATATATATATTATATATATTATATAAAATACGTATTTATTATATATATATATATATTATAGATTCTAATTAAATCTATCATGGTATATCTATACTCTATAGCTATCTTCGGTCGGGGGTATATTATTGGATCCCTCCAACCCATTTGTATGCTGTTAGATGTCCCCCATTTGGTTGACGAAAGTTTAAACTCGGGGAGCGAGTGTTCATATCTGCCTTGGCAAAATCACACCGGGAATGGCGACGAAGATCAAACCCCCCAACTCTTGGTTGGATAGTTTCAGATCGGAAGAACATGAAGAACCAATTTTGTGGTGCCATTAAGGTCCATCAAGGTCCATAGAGGCAATGAAATTTTGCACCCCCAAAATGCCAACAAGGCTGCCACGCAAAATGTCACGGCCAGGCAGGTGAAGACCATCGAGTCCTTGCGGCCTTGTTGCGCTTGTACTTTGGCACAGACACGTCAGTCCAACATGGCCGAGAAATGGTCTGAATTGTGGCTGTTTGTTTTGTTGCTGTGGGACTGGATTGTCGTAGTGGCTCAAAAACCCCTGTTCGCGACTTCTGGACCTGTTGATACCGCTGATCCCTTGCAATGAGGCATGTTTCCATCTCGCCCGGAACTTGGCGGAGCGTTCGCGGAGTGGCGGTTTTGGGGGAAGAAGCACTGCACCGAAAATGTGGAACATGAAGAATACTGTCCCCTCAATTGGATTCAGGGAGAAGTGTCCACATGATCCGAAATGGAAGCATTTCGCGGTATTCCGAACTCATTGTCACCAGTTTTGGGAAGATTTAGCAGCAGTTGTCACGCTTCTTGTTCCAGTCTTGATGGTTTTAGTCTCCACGGGGGTTCCAAGCATCTCCGAGTTCGCTTCCAACCCGCCAGGCCGTCACTTGTCGCATCTCCGAAAATGGGATGACAATAATCCAACTTGATGTAGTTTTTCGAACATTTTCTACTGTTCATCCTGAGATGATGATCCCAATTACCCCCAAAAAATTGGGGGTTGGATGATGGCTGGTGCATTTTGAGGTCCCAGAAGTCCCAGGTAGACCAGAACCAGACTGCAGGCGCTGCTTACTGGCACAGAAGCCTTATGAAGCCTTGCGGCATGCCGCGAAGGTGATTGGGATGAAAGGGATAAAACCGACAGGTCACATGAAGAAACTGGGGGTTTCTCTAAAAAAGGACGAGTTTCTTATGAGGAAACCACCTTTCAAAGCAATTCCTTGTTTTCCATAGTTATTCGTTTCTTTTTTTTACTTTTGAGATTTCTTAGGCACAAATTAAATGGGGACATGTATCAGTCTACATCAACATTTTCGCACTCAAAACCAGCCTACTCTAGGATACAGTATCTGATGTCCGCCACGATGATCGGTTTCTCAAGTTGTTCAAGCTGAACCCACATTTTGGTTGGTAAGGGCCTAATTTTGGCCAGCCGCATCATCATTTTTTCTTGATCACCCACATCCATGATGGTGCGCGAAAGCACCACTTCGGTTGGTGAAATCCCCCTTGTGCCTCAGTGAAAAACACGCATCGATCAACTGGCACTTTGGTGGATGAAACCGACTTTTCCAAGGCTCTAAACAACAGTTTGACAACTCTCTCTCTCTCTCTATCTCTATATAGTATATATATAATACTAACTACTACTACTACTACTACTACCACTACTACCACTACGACCACTACGACCACTACGACCACTACGACCACTACGACCACTACGACCACTACGACCACTACGACCACTACGACCACTATGACCACTACGACCACTACGACCACTACGACCACTACGACCACTACGACCACTACGACCACTACGACCACTACGACCACTACTACGACCACTACGACCACTACGACCACTACGACCACTACGACCACTACGACCACTACGACCACTACGACCACTACGACCACTACGACCACTACGACCACTACGACCACTACGACCACTACGACCACTACGACCACTACTACCACTACTACCACTACTACCACTACTACCACTACTACCACTACCACCACTACTACCACTACTACCACTACTACCCCTACTACCCCTACTACCCCTACTACCCCTACTACCCCTACTACCACTACTACCACTACTACCACTACTACCACTACTACCACTACTACCACTACTACCACTACTACCACTACTACCACTACTACCACTACTACACCTACTACACCTACTACACCTACTACACCTACTACACCTACTACACCTACTACACCTACTACGACCACCACGACACCACGACCACCCCACCACGACCACACGCACCACCACCACCACCACGACCACGACCACCGACCACTACCCGGACCACGCCGACTAGCCACTACCACTGACCACGACCGACCACCACTAACCCACCACCAACCATCCACCACGACCACGGACACGACCACGACCACTACTAACTACTACTACTACTACTACTACCACTACTACCACTACGACCACTACGACCACTACGACCACTACGACCACTACGACCACTACGACCACTACGACCACTACGACCACTACGACCACTATGACCACTACGACCACTACGACCACTACGACCACTACGACCACTACGACCACTACGACCACTACGACCACTACGACCACTACTACGACCACTACGACCACTACGACCACTACGACCACTACGACCACTACGACCACTACGACCACTACGACCACTACGACCACTACTACCACTACGACCACTACTACCACTACTACCACTACTACCACTACTACCACTACTACCACTACTACCACTACTACCACTACTACCACTACCACCACTACTACCACTACTACCACTACTACCCCTACTACCCCTACTACCCCTACTACCCCTACTACCCCTACTACCACTACTACCACTACTACCACTACTACCACTACTACCACTACTACCACTACTACCACTACTACCACTACTACCACTACTACCACTACTACACCTACTACACCTACTACACCTACTACACCTACTACACCTACTACACCTACTACACCTACTACACCTACTACACCTACTACACCTACTACACCTACTCCACCTACTACACCTACTACACCTACTACACCTACTACACCTACTACACCTACTACACCTACTACACCTACTACACCTACTACACCTACTACACCTACTACACCTACTACACCTACTACACCTACTACCTCTAACTAGGACGCTAGTACCTACTAACTACTAACTACAACGACTACTACGACCTACTACTACTACCTTACTACCTACGACCTACTACCTACTACCTACTACCTACTATAGCTACTACACCACTACCTACTACTACGACTACGACCTACTAAACTACGCCTACTAACTACGACTACTAACTACGACCTACTACCTACGACCTACTAACTACAGACCTACTAACTACCTACTAACTACGACCTACTACGACCTACGACGACCTACTACTAACCTACTACTACCAGACGACTACCTACTAACTAACATACTACGACTACTACTACTACTACTACCTACTACTACCTCCTACTACCTACTACTACCTACTACTACCCATCGTACCTTACCATACTACTACCTACTACTAACCACTACTACCGTACTAACGAACTACTACTAATTCACTACGCACTAACTACTAACTACTACTACTAACTCTCACTACGACTAACTACTCCCTAACTACTACTAACTCCTGATTTAACTACTACTAACTCTACTAACTACTCCTACTACTACTAACAATACTACTAACTCCTACTAACTACTACCAACTACTCTTAACTAGCGACTACTACTACGACTAACTACTACTAACTACTACTAACTTACTCTAACTTACTAACTAACACTACGACTAACACGACCTAACTACTACTATCAGCTACTAACTTCTACTACCCTACTCGTACTACTAACTACTACCAACTAGACCTACTACGACCGACTACGACCTCACCTACGACCTACTACGACCCTTACTACTACCAACTACTACCAACTACTACCAACTACTACCAACTACTACTAACTACTACTAACTACTACTAACTACTACTAACTACTACTAACTACTACTAACTACTACTAACTACTACTAACTACTACTAACTACTACTAACTACTACTAACTACTATAACTACTACTAACTACTACTAACTACTACTAACTACTACTAACTACTACTAACTACTACTAACTACTACTAGCTACTACTAGCTACTACTAGCTACTACTAGCTACTACTAGCTACTACTAGCTACTACTAGCTACTACTAGCTACTACTAACTACTACTAGCTACTACTAACTACTACTAACTACTACTAACTACTACTAACTACTACTAACTACTACTAACTACTACTAACTACTACTAACTACTACTAACTACTACTAACTACTACTATCTACTACTAACTACTACTAACTACTACTACTACTACTAATAATCATACTAATAGTAATTGATAATAATAATAAATAATGATAATAATTGATAATAATGATGAATAATAATAAAAACGAAAATAAATACACATAATGGTAATGATAACATATTTAAGAAAATGTATCACTATCTATATATATATATATATATGTATATGGGTACACTATATATCTATCCTATGTATGAGATATGTACATATCCATCGACATACGGCCAGGCACTGCAGCTGCCGCCCCCCTGTCTGATCGGCGGCCGGGCGACGCCAGATGAGGTGGCCAGTGCCCATGTGCTGCGCGCGCGGGCGGTGTGTGCCATGGAAGAGGTGGGGGCAGGGAGGGCAGGGGCTGGAATTACGAGATTTTTTCCATGTTTTTCAAATATTTTCCCATATTATATAGAAGGAAGTTTGATTGGTTTATGATTTCTTGGTTTTTACTAGCAATGATGCAATTAGGTGTAATGAGTTATTGCTTTGGTTTTAATCAAACTTGGTTTACTGGTTGATTGGTCGTGGATTTAGACGTAAATCTGATCTACTGATATACCCATGGTTGTGATATGTTGTGATTAATATTGTCAATGCAATTTCTGAAGGCGGATGAGGCACAATCCCAGCCGCTCATAAACAACCCCGCAGTTCGGGATGGTGATAAAACCCCAAAAAACTGGTCGGGGGTGGTGGAATATGGTGGCATACTGGCATGCACAACAAGGATGTGGAGCAGATCTGCATCACATATTGATGATGTAAACAAGAAGAGAGTAGGTCGTTGAGAACCGGTGAAAGATGTGAAAGTGGGTGGATCACAAGTACCATTTGGATACATTTGGTCTATTTGTGTTTCTTTGCCAATGCCTTTTTGGTGGCAGCAAGAAGTAGCTAAGTCATGGCCAGTTTCGATGTCAGGCCGATGAGATGTACTACGAGGATGAAGGTGGGGGTGTGGTTTACCGACCCAAGTGAAAGAACATCGTGTTTTTTCACAAGAAATGTGGGTTGAGATTTGGGAAGTCGAGATAATATATAAAACTACATAATATAATACGTATATAATATTATATAGTAGGAATCCAGGAATTCAGAATAGCAATCAAAACAAAATTTGGGATCAATTTTTGGAAACCATCCATCCTGTTTCTGCCTAGGAGATGGTGACCCCATGAATTTATTGTCGCTCACGTACCGAGGATGGTCAGATCCGGTCGTTTGATTGAGAAGGGAATCAAGTGCCCCAGGCCACACCAGCGTTTTCATTACTAGTGAGAGGCAAAGAAAATGATAAACTATGATAACATATGATAAATTCTATGGTAGCACATTGAAGAACTTCTGTAATTTGAATATATTTGAGATTTCATGTTGGTTTCATCCAAACTTCACTGGTACCGTGGCTCCGTGGCTGAGGTGAGCGTTCTGCGCTGCTGAATGACTTGCTCCGGGGGTTGGAAGCTGTGGCACAAGTCCAGCCGGCTTCAGAGGTGAAGGACGCGACCCGGCATGGGGATACTGGGCTATGGAGGTTGCCATCAGTGGTTTGGAGAATCACATGATATTGGGCACTTGGGGTCTTTTCAAAGATAGTAGGGGAAATCAGTGTTTCTGAGTTTTGGGAGGTACAAAGCATCAGATGAGTCAAGAATGAAATGGCAACAGAATGGGGTACAGACCCGCTTCCATTTCTTTTGCAGATTCAATATCAATGGAAATGGCGGTAAAATAGTCTAGTGGCAACTGGTTTGGCTGTTTCGGAATCGCCCACCAATCATT